TCGTCTGTAGTATAATCTCAAATCTTTAGTACTTTTTAAATAATATAGTAAATGCTTGATAATATTTTAATGTCGTAGTATTGGACATGTATTGTGACTTACAAGAACTTTAACTACAAATGCAATATCTGATTTGGTAGATGTAGCTAAATATAAAAGTGTCCCAATTGTTGCAAGGTACGGATATTATTTTCTTAATATTTCGTCCTCTTCCTCGCACGGATGGTATGGATCATGACCATCATGACCATGTTCAACTATTTGTGTGGACAATGGATAAATATCAATTATATTGAATCTCTATAAGATTCATCTAATTTATGTTAATTGGTAGAAAAAAATGCTACCATCTATGAAATGCATAATTTGAAGACCAATACAAAAAGTTATTTTTTCTAGCATTTTCATCTCAAATTCACGTATAAGTATGTTAGTAGCTGTAAGACATATAGGTCTACTATCTACTAGGTTAAGAACATCAATATATATAGCAATGATCACAAAAACAATTTTATCTCATTTGATAAATAAACAAGGAATTAGTAGATTACTTACAAATTTATTTATAATTAAATAATCTTAAAGACATTGATATCACATGCATTTAGATTGTTTTAGACTATATAGGGCCTAAAATTAATTTAATACCACGATATTGTCTTGGAGTAGGTGCATTTGGAGTTTTTGTTTCCAAACCACGTAGAACTTTCATATAAATATCTGCATTAAGTAAACCATACAAATATGTAGTTACCACATCCATGAGATGCATCTCAAGGGTGGCATGAACTACCATTCCAATAATATATTAGAATGTAATTGAATCCATGACTTGAAAATATGTGGATTCATAATCAATGCTAAACTGTTGGTTAAATCCTTCAACAACAAGACAAGTTTTATAGCAAATTATTTGATCTTTAGCATCTTGCTTATATATTAATATCTTCTTATATCTCACATGGTGAGAAGTAAGAGTATCTATAATTGGACCAAAGACTTTCTTCTTATGCAAAGAAGCATATTCTTTCTTGATGGTAATTTTCTATTTTAACAAATCAAAGCGACACATTACTTTCTGAATGGTTTGAGGTTAAGGATCTTCTTTCTTCTAAGAATGAGCTTCTGCCATTATGAATGCAAATGATTCATCTATTGTAATAGATGGTCTATTCCAAAGGTTATTTATAGCACAATATAGAATAGATAATTTTGTATTCAACTTGATTTTATCCCTCCTAATTTCAAAATTTTCTATAGCATGAGGTGAAGGTATAATGTGCATGGATATATTGTCATTAATTGATGGTCTCATAGGTTTACTAGGAACTTCTATAAAAATAATACCAAAATCACCTTTATATTATAGCTTTCTACTTTTGTGGTTGCTTATTTGGTCCACAAGTCCTTTTAATTATTGATGTTTTAATTTGAGGTATATTTGTTAGTAGTATTGCAATCTAAGCACATTCATTTTGAGCCTCATTAATTGAAACTCTTATAATCTGAGGTACATCATTGAAGCCATTAGATGTTTCATTTGCAATCTGTTTTAGATACAAAATCTTTGCAACTTCATTTTCAATCAAAAATATTATAGGATCAAGATTCATTGTAAATGTTTCTAGTGCTCCAAATGCAAGTACTATATTTCTTTTTTGATTAAATACTTATCCTAGAAGAGATGGAAATTCATTCTCTTCAAAATTGCAATTTTGAAAACGTGCACGTAATAATATCCCAATTGATGGGTCAACTATATAAATAATGCTTGGTGAATCAAAACCAATATATATGCCTTCTTGTTGGTACACCATTGAGATTCTCATATTTGAACCCAAGTATTGCAACCGAATATCCATATGTGAGATACATTTAGAACATGACCTGAAATGAGCTCTTGTGGTATAATAATTTCAAAAGAAATACGGAGGCATACTAATGCTATAACATGCAAAATTGCATGACCCCACATAGATGCAAGTAAATTTGCATGAAGAAGGAGTGGCCGGGTAATAACTTGTATATGCTTTATAAATAACTCTATAAGTCCATTTTGAATATGTTCATATCGAATACAATATGTCAACTCACTCCTTGTTGCAATACAATAGTCTTCAAAGAGCTTTGATGCAAATTCTTTTGCATTATCCAAATGCAATGTTTTAATAGGATAATTAAGAAAATATGCTTGAAAATGAATAAGCATAGATATAAGATTAGCAAATACCATGTTTTGACATGATAATAATGAAACATGTGATTGTTTGTCTGATACATCAACAAGGACCAAAAAATAACAAAATGATCTAGATATTGGATTAATAGGACCACAAATACCACATCGACACATCCATAGTATAAATCTCATGAGCCTCAACATGAAATTTCTTATTTTCTTGGAACATTTTAAGAAAGTATTCTAAAGTATGGCATGCATGTGCCAAATGTCCAATCATTCCACATTTATAATAAGAATGCATCTTTGATTTTTGTTTTCCACTATAATTAGTTATAGAACATTTATTCTTTCTATATAGATGGAAATGGTCATGACCATGACTGACCTAGTACTTATGAGTATTTTTTTCCATGTTTGTATAATTGTTTCATAGACTTTGAAATATTAAGTGCATGAGATTCTAGAACCATAGTTCCAATAGGACAAGCTTCTACATTATATAAAAGTAACTCGTTTTGTTTCCCCACAAGAAGTAGATAGGATATGAGATCAAGCTGACTCTGAAATTTCATATTCTTATATTGTTGTGCAAGCACAACATATGCAGGAGGAATTGTAGAGAGAGTTTTTAAAATCATTTCTTCTTCAAAGATGTTTTATCCACATAATTGCAGTTGTGAGACAATATGATACATTTCATTATTGAAAGCATTTAAATTTGGAAAATCCAAGACATGTAAATATGTCCAATCATGACGTGCATATATAAGGAAAATGATCTTTGATGATCAAATCTGGATTTAAGATTCTCCTAGACCTTAGTTGCATCTTCTATTTCTAAATATTGATATTGTAATGCAAATACAAGATGTTGGCAAAGGAAAAGAAGTACTTTCCAATGGATAGCAATAGGAATTGAAGTACTTATAGTAGGAGATTCTTCAAATAGAATTGTATTCGATAGTTGTTCTATAAATAAATTTGTTTTTTCCATTTTTACGTATAATGGATAATTATTTCTATCAGCAGCCAATGGTGGAAATAGAAGAGCTTAAAAATATTGGAATGCAATAGTAATTATTAAAAACATAGTAGAAATAATTGAGGATGTTGAAGCACTCATTATAAATAAATCTATGAATAAAAAAATACAAGTTTAAGTAAAAAAGATTGAATAAAATGTATCTTAAAATGTAAAGCCAAATAAAATGATAAAATTGAAACTTGAAATCAAAAATATTAAAAAATAAAAATAAAATAAGATTTTATTTTTTATTTTTTATTTTATTTTTTTTACAAAAATAAGGGTTTGAGATGGACTATAGTAAGGTGCATCAAGGTGTGGCAGTTCGGCGGCAATCGGCAATAGTCAGCAGCAGTCAACGGTAGTGAGCAACAACAACGGACAACAATAGTAGCAGGAGCAACACAAGAAGGGAAAAAAAATTTAGGAGAAAACAGAAGAAAAAATGCTTATAAGTTTTTAAGAACTAAGAACTAAGACTATAGCATAAAAGCAATTGTGTTGATAATGTGTTGAGAATGTTTTAGAGAAATAGAGACAATAGTGGCTAGAAATAATATGCACACATATGTAACTACACACACACAAGAAGTGAGTTTATTGATAGGATTATATCCTTTATACAAAGAGAAGATAAACAGTGTCTCCCCACTACATTCCACACTATAGCTACAATAAATATTGTAAACTATATTAAATAGTGTGGAGAGCGTCGCCTACATTTAATGCTTTCAACAGCTTTCAACAGTCTGAACATCTTTGCACAATTAGGAACATTCAATTGCATTAAAACTCAAGCTTCAGTTTTCTTGTTGTAAGTAGGTCTACTTTCACACACGATTTTGATTACTCCATCTATCTTCATACTTAATTGTCTCAAAATATAATGTTCTACTGTGAGCTGCAACAAATGGTTTATAGAACACGACCGCACAATGTTTGCAAAATGCGCAAACACAGACTCTTTTGAATGTATTATGTCTTGTGCTGCCAAATGATCGTCTGTTAAGTGGTACGAGTGTTTCTGACGCTGCACACGCCGAAGTGTGTGGCAGGGGTGACATCACCCTAAACCATTGAACGAAAGCAAGGAGACATTTGCTCCTCCTTTGCCTCACCATTCAACTCGGTTTCTCATCTGCTCTCGGTATGTCAGTAATCATGCGTTCCGTTCTCCACTTGCTCTTGTTGTTTCCAGCGTTTCCCATCATTTCTTTTCCCTGGATCTTCCGCAATCTTGGCCTCTCACCTTCATACAGTGCGAGGTTAGGAATCCACTTTGTGGGTGGTTGGTTCACAGGCTGTTTTCTCATTGTCTGGATCCCAGTACAGTCGACAACCCTCTCCAAACGGTGCTGACATATTTTCTCTCAGACATGTCAACTTGTTCTCTGGGTCGTGATCGGAGTGTCAATTCTTACTGCCTTTCAAGCAACAAACTCTGAATGTCATACCCAAAGCTACTTCTACTTTGTGTGGCGCTATATGTACCTCAAAGGTTTGTTCACCGGTAGCTTCGACGATGTGAAGGGCCTCCAAGCAGATAAAGCAATGGATTTCGGGTACTTGTGGCTGTGGACCGCTAGTTCTCATACTGCTGTCACGTACTTTGCAAGTTTGTCTGCAGAATGTCATGTGAAGGAAAACTCACATTAATGCGGTTATAGTTCTCTTCACCCAGTTTTCTAGAGTTGCATGTTCTCATTGGTGCAGTGCTTAGGATACACTTATACACTTGCAAGGATTTATCTACCGTCGGTTCAAAACCTTGCAACTGTCTGTCAAAAGCCAGTATGAGTGGAAATTACAGTAAGCGACATGCGGCTTCCAGCCTTAACATTATTGCCAGGCGTTTCTTGATGCCAGAGCTTGAGTTTATGTTACACAGGTGATGTAAAAAGTGAACGAAAAATTGCACAATAGAACAAGACAAATCAAACTCGTTCCCTACAGTGTCATTTTAAATAAGAAGGGCCCGGTCCCAACGTCTGAGGCCGAGGAAAGAATCAGGTATTAATATTTACTACTACAATACACCTGGCACTTGATAGTCTGACGATTGACAATGAAGCCTGGATTCACCATGATGCTGATCTTCGATCGAACAGGCTCCTCCTCGAAGGCAGGGACTTGGTCCATGAATCTGGGGTCGAACTCGGCGGAGGGCGAGACTCGGAAGATTGAAACTGGTTGATCGAATGCGAATGCCAGGTGGTGCACAAGCCACACTGATTTGACTGCGTTGAAGAAGGACGCCATGAGACTCAGGGAGATCTCACTCTCTGCCAGTTTTCCAAGCTGCGACAGGATGAGCTCCATTCGCACCACGAAGAATCGGTGAAAATTTGCATTCACCACTAGAGCGCCAGGTTTGCCGAGGGATTTCTCTATAGTGGACCATTCCTGGTTTTTCAGGTTCTGGTACGATTGATAGCAGGTTTGTTTCAAAGTCTCGGGGTCGAACACGGAGGAAGCGCCATTGGGCTCGAAGCTCACATTCTCAAAGCTTTCGAACATAACCTGGTTGAGAAAAGACTCAAAGTAGAGGATGATGACGTTCCGTGGCATCCGACTGACCCATCGTCCAACTTTGTGCTGCTCTAAGAGAGAAGTGATCACTTGCGTCGCCGACTCCCCTGACTCCCGAATGTGGTGGCATATTGCGGACGCTAGCCTCCGAAGCGCGTTCTTCGAATCCTCGAACGCCTTTAAGAACTTCTCGGGTCTCAGTTCCTCCGGAGAAAACCGGCGGGCAATAGCTGGCGGTCCAGCCGCTGGGGGATTATGCTCCCTCCTTCCAACAAGGTAATCCTCAGCCGCAAGTTCCATATCCCAGAGGCCGCTATGTCGAGCACTCAGCTGGAGCTCCAAATCCTGGCACCGTTGCGTCAACAATCTGCATTTCTCATCAGAAACTTCTGCAGCAGCTTGCAAGGCGCGGATCTCTTCAGCTGCTGCAACGTTCTTCTGATTCGCCAGCTCTAGCTTGTGCCGCAACGTCTTGATGGTGTAGTCTAAAACCTTTATCGAATCGGAATCTGCTTTCACACTTCCCATGTCAGATTGGAAGGATTCATTCAATTTAATCGCAGCAGCTGACGCTCCGCTCTTTTTCTTGCCCCAACTGAGGAAGTTGAATATGTTATAAGTCCCCGATTTCTGCGTTGATGCAACCTTTTTGCCCCCGACTTTCTGCGGCAATTCTGGGGGTTCATACCCTATTGAAGAATCTGCACTCCACACAATTTTGGAAGCGTTAGTCTATGTGACAAAACTTTGATTCGAGAAACGGAAGCGACATCAACCTCTCATCACATCGAAGGAATGATTAAAGACGTATGACTAAAGCGGTCGAACCTTGAGACATGTCCCTGTCGACGGCTCCTGAAGAAACAACAAGTTGACTGCTGTCATGACCACTACCTCGCCAACTGGTTAGGGACGATGAATTCACACATCCTGAGTTTGTCCACACTGCGTTACCCTGAAACGACTTGTTCATCTCCCGGTTGATGCTTCTAGTTGCATTCTGTGCCTCGTCTCTGATACTAGCCAAGTTGGGTGATACTGCTCGGGAGGATTTCCTCCACGTCCGTCCCGGGGACCTGTCCTTGGACACCGACGGGCGAGGGGACTGCTCAACATGCCGTGATTTCATGATCTTCTTCAACCTCGTCGTCGAGCCCAAGGAGCCATGCGCAGGACTCGTCATTGTGCTTGCTCCCACCGACGCCGGAGGCAGCATGTTGTTGGACGACATGCGCGGGTCATTCAGATTCACATCATACCCAGGTCGCGTGTGTTCCGGACTCAGAGTTAGGTGGTTAACTATGGGCGTCATCCCTCCACTTTCTGTGACACACGGGCTGGCAACGTGCAGCTGCGTGAGCTTGGGACTTTTCTCCAACGGTCTGAGTTGCGGACTGAGGATGTTGAAGTTTTGTGGGGAGTGAGAAATGGCCGCTCTCGTGACTGGGCTCGCCGTTCTTCCGGGAATGATATTGTTCCGCTGGGCTGCATTGCTTGGCACAGGAACGTAGAAATTGTTTCCTTGATTCATGGCGACCCGCCCCAACGGAAGCATAGTTCCCGTGCTCGAACTTACCATCGCTGCGGGAGCGTCCATGTACTGGGATCCAGGACTGGTGGCGCGGGTGCGGGGCTTGAGGAAGGTGGGCTGCTCCAGACTGATAGCGCTCACAGAAGGCGTGAGAGTGAGGCTCGTATTGAAGGAGAGCGAGCGGCTGCTATGTCCACTCGTGCTCTGCGTATCAGTGTGGATCTCTTTCCAAATTCCTTGGCCCTCGTCTTGGAAGCTCGCGCGACTCTGGTCTACATTGCCTGGAAGCACGAGTGACTCACGAATGCTCTGCACGCAGTTGTTCATTGTGACGCCTCAGCAGTAAGTACTAACCACAACATTCTCACCATGCAAAAATATCATTGAATTTGAATCCTTCGAAGATAAAGTTAACTAATGATCTAAGCGTAGTGGGTAATCCTCACGGGGCTTAATCCCACATGTGACAGAAAAAAAGACGACTACAGATGGCGATGCTGCCTATCAGTTTATGACACCGCCTCCAGTGCAATACAATCCAGTAGCACTTCCTGTGACCGATTTTTCAAAATAACTTCTATCGTGCATTCGCGCTTCCCTAGCACCGATGAAAGTGAGCGGAGAAACCGAGCCTAAGTGTGTAGTTCGTTTGTCTGCCAGTAACATGAGCAGTAGTGAATAAAAGTCGTAGCTCTGTATCATGTAATTCGCTGGCAGCGTTAAATACAGCAGTCTCGTTTCGTACCTTCAACATCAAAGGAACCCATTCACATTCAAGGGCCAAAGACAGTACGTTGGGCAAAGCAAGTGTCAAGGGGATTTAAGGCCGTTCCAAAGAAAGGGAACATGACCAGACGCCAATTAGCGATGGCAACCGAACCGCATGCGTGACTGTTGTGTGACCCTCGCTCACTGTGAGTCTACAATGCAGACTCAAAGACCAGAGGAAGTCGGGAGCTTACTGGAGTGAAAATGGGATACTCGCGCTGCGGCGTCAAAATACGTCCGGCTTGAGCTCTGGATTCCGAGTTGGTATCATTCATACTATCGCCATGCACTCCTAGTAAGCCCCCAGCTCTCTGCATCCCCATCACTCCTATCACACCTCTCATCGTGCGTGCACGCTGCACATGAATCTCACCAGAAGAGTCCTAAGGTGCTCACCTCAGCGCGAAGGCCTCGCCTTCCTTAACAGCCCCGAAGTAGCTCGATTCACTCCCTGGACTCAATGCCGCTACAAACAATCCTCAACCTCCTGGGGAAACTCTCTATCTCACCACAGACTATCCACGACAGGCTTCTTCCTGTTCTTTGGAATACTTAGACACACAAAAATAACCGCTTCGAGGTCCTCTGCACAACGGCACCTCTGCTCCCTCTCTCTACTCCAGCTCCAGTTGTGCACCTGCTCAGCTCCACACAGACGATAGCGGCTCCAAATCTGGTCCTTCATCACACACAATCCCATCACCTCTCATCCTCAGCTCCCTCGGAACTCTTCCGCACTGGCTTCCAACTGAAGCTTACGGCTGCTTGACTCCCGTAACTGTCGACTTGCAGCGAGACAACAGCACCAAGTCCACTATGTCACAAAACCCAGCTGAGTTACCAAGCCGACACTCTAGAGAGAGACAGACCTGATTCTGACTTGCACACTCCAGACTGCCGATCGAGCAAGATCTATCCACAGGTATCTGCAAAAAAGGATTCTGCGTCTAATTCTGGGTGTGGATGTATATTATGTAGTATCGAAGGGACGGAAGGAAGGACGGAGAACGAAGCTTCACGTGAATATCTGCCTGTAAGAACGCTGAACTCACAGCCTGCCTACTGTAAATTATCTGCCCAGGTATTCTTCAACTTGACCATGGCCTTCCTGCAACTGTACCGGAAATTGTCCTTGTGTGGATGTCTTCCAGCAGAACTGGGACAGAGTTCTGTTATGCAACATCAACACCCACAAATTCTAATCTGATAGAACGCAAGATATAGCTGTTCACGAAGCTCTCCAATTTCAATGATCTGCTCGGAATGGTTATTTACAGTTCGTTAATGTGACTGTGAGCTTCATTTGTCAGTTTGAGATGTTTTGGTTTTCCGAAAAACTTGCCATGAAATAAAAGTCCACGTTCAACACGAACTCTGAGGTCTCAGTTTATTTTCAAGTACAAGGTGCATATGTTGAAACACAAACTCTTCAGCACCAAAAGTAAACTTGAGCATTCAGAACCTCATTTGATATTGGTGGTGTGGTGACAAATAAATATATCACCCAATTGATTAAGCTACGTTAAAAAGAAAGAAATCATTTAGGATTTTCATGAGCTACTAACTTTTCTATATATACATGTGTGTGTACGTAAGTAAATAAGTAACAATATACATGTTCGAAATTCGATAGTGAATGAGGAACAAAAGTACTGTCGCAAGCACAAACGTGAAATTGATGCAATGTAATTCGCGTTGAAGGCAATGGATCTGAGAACTTGTTTTAGATTGCTTTTTTTTTTTTTTTTTTTTTTTTTTTCCTTTCGCTCGTAATTCTTCTTCTCTGCTTCTACTCGAAGTAATTAATGCACATCAATTTCCTTTCACCAAGGAACACAAGTGCTATTTTTCCTGCTCACTGGGTTTGTCTGTTAAGGTTGTGAGCTCACTTCCAGGTTCACGCCCATCGAGTGAGAGCATCGTCTCCTTGCAACGAACCTCCAGTGGTCAATGCCCCACCACCAGACAAGAGTGCATGAACCAATTCCCAAAAGAATCTTCGTATCCAAGTGGACGATGTTGCCGCAGCCTTTCGAGCTCAACAAGCTGTGATCAGAAACCCTTCCTCCCTTCAAATTTGCTCTGGTGTTGGTCTCGACGCTTCATTTGGTTCTCCAAGTTCATTCTCCTTACTTGCAAGCCCCCCTCAAAACAAAAAGAAACACTAATAAATACCGAGTTTAATAAAGTTAAAGCACATGCGCTCGCATCTAATGGGCAAATCAAGTGGCAAAAGATAACTATCATCTGGCTCGTAAGTCATGCACCATCTACATTTACCTCTTCTTTCTTCGAGAAGATTCAATCAAAGATTTCGTAAGAGAACCAAACCCTCAACTTTTTTGTTTAAAAATGGCAAAGCGCTGCTTATTTGTTTGTAAGACCTGGATCCAAAGGCGCAACCACAACATTGAAAAGTTTCTCTCCATGAAACAAAGACAAAATACACAGAGATTTGATCTGCATGACAAATTACATGCTGTAACTCTCTCGGTGCAATTGATGGATGATCTTTTCAAACCCTAACCTCGAGCTTGAAGCAAAGCTGGAGTCAAGCTAGTGGGAAAGCAAAAGATGGATTTCTCCTCAACGTTGAATTGACAGCGTAAAACACTCAACCAGTCTCGAAATGGCAACAGATTCACCTGGTCTATCCAGACGGAGACGGATAAGTAACATCGGAAACTGTAACAGGATCAGATGCGTTAATGCGCTCCACCTACTTCATTAACCACACAGCCATCTCACAATGCAGCATGCCTTCGTCGACTCAGAAAGCCAGAGTTGTGATTGGCAGCAGGGATTGTGGCACAATCCAACGGTGAAGGTTGCGAGCTCCATTTCAAACACGAACATCCATTTCTGTGGTCAGAATGAGAGAGGGGGGCTGTCTGGTGCAGGTCACTCGGATGCAGTGAGAAACTGGTGCTAGAATGCGATACTGCACCCGTATTTTTAGTAGCAAGCAGCTCATGCTTGCGAAGAGCAGGGTCGAAAAGCAGAGGCCGGAGGATGCTTGGTTCCGCTCTCGTGACCACCACCGCCCTCTTGTACCGTAGTCGCCTTTGCTATTCCTAGACACGCATTATCCAATTCGGGATTCATTAGTGGAGAGATTTGGCTCCATGCCCAGTTTCCTATTATAAAAAAAAAAAAAAACACACACACACACACAAAAACAAAGAATGTATGTTGGAGATTATCGATATTTCGATGATGCAAGCAGTTCTGGTGTATTCTGCTTTCTTTTCTCGATTGCTCACCTAGACAGGAATTGTGGCATATCTGACAAGATTTGCGATGAAATTAATGCATTTCGAGTTGTTTTTCCCCTCCTCTCTCTCTCTCTCTCTCTCTCTCTCTCACTCTTTCTCTAAAATGACTTTGTGTTCGGAATGCAATTCATTGTTTGAACACCTTCTCCCGAACATTGTTTACAGAACTGCATGCGATACACAGCTCTCTATGGAATAGAAACCATAACTACTTTAGGGAGGAGTATTTTTTTTTTTTTTTTTTTTTTTTTTGGGTTTTGGTTCCCCCCCCCCCCCCCCCCCCCCGATGACGGCCTTCTGGACGCAGGCTGGCAGGCATTGAATGCACTGATCACAACCCAATGCCGGATTTGGAAAGATGCCTTTATCAATTGACACCATTAATGCAAGCTTTTGTCCAACTAAGCCATTTTCAGTAATCATGGTTTCCACCTAATAAAGTACTCCGAACACACACGAAGGTTGGTTCCCTACACTCTTTATTCCTGGTTTCTAGTCTTCCGGTGGGACGGTGGTCAAAGGCCCTGGACGCATGAACCATACTGCCGATGCAAGTGTCGCCTCATGTGGAAGGATCAGGATCTGCCCACTTTTTGCTATCCGTTGCCCAAATTTTGTGGCTTGCTGTCTTGTGCCAATTCCCCACCTGCTTGATCCGGAGGCACCGAACCATCCAGTGCGCTGCAAGGCTTCCGCAAGTGCAGAAACTGCTGTATCCTCAACCCTTCGGAAACCCGATCTCCGCGGTGGCATTCTCCGAATTAGAGCTTCATTCACCTCCCTTGCAACACAGACTGGAGTTGCAATCCCCCGTATTCATGAATCAATGCCACTTCTCATCAATCCCACCACCCACTTTGAAACTTCACCACGAAGAATCAGTGTTTGTACAAATTCCGAAGGCAGTGCCGAATGTGAATGTTCCTTGATATCATTATCGTTATCGAGCTTGTTGTTTTCGGGGTCGTATGTAACCTATTTAACATGCATGGGTTGTAGCTAAGATTTCTTTCTCAGTTGAACAAGCCATCACAGTTTTTGACTTCTTCTGCTGGGTTGTATATATCCTGTGCTTGCATCACACCACAAGCATGGTGCTCGAACGGCGGTTTAGATTATGCGAATGAAGCTCAACAGCAAGTCAAATGTGTTCAGGTTTTCTAAGCATCTACCTCGATGTGAGCCATTCGGCGTGGCTGTCGTGGAGGGAGGGACGGTAGAAGGAGGGAAGAGAGCTTGTTGCTTCAACCTCTGCAACGGCAACCTTCGTGACCAGCCTGCGTGGCTGTAGGGCACGATTTGCGATGGAATCTAAACCCATTTATTGCCAAAATTAGAATTAGGGAAAGAATGAATGATTGAATGATAATGGACAAGAGGTTGGTAACCCAGCGCTTCAAACCCAACCTGAAGTCAAACTCCAATTCAAATTCAAATAGTGAAGCTCAAGTGTTTTCGTCGAGCATAAAACTTCCTGATAAAAGTATGCAATGAGTAGTTATCAGCAGCTTTCGAAAAGACATATTCAAGTGCAACCCACATATATATATATATATATATATATATATATTGTTTCTAGAGCTCGATGAAGCGATGAGTTTGCTATTGAGGAATTGACGTTAAGTTATCGATTTGTGGGCCATTTTTTCTTTGGAGTGATATCATTGGATTCGGTCATAATGTGTTGGCTGCAGCACATATTCCTTTGTATTTCAACATCCGTTGCGCCTTGTTCAATCACACGAAACTATATAATTACACATTTATTTATTTATAGCTTTATGGTGGTCTAATTGGAAAGCAGCATGTTATTTGAAAGGAGAATACCAATTTAGCGCATGTAATAAATGTTCTTATTGAAAAAGCTTAGATCCGCGTTTTTCTTTTTCAGATGGGCGCGGATCACACTAAGTTGTCTCCATCCGAAGATTTACAATCATGATTTAGAAGGTGTTCGATTTTACATCGCAAGATTGTATTCCACACCAATGTTCGAGAGAAGTAAGAAACCCTAGTCATACTATCTCTAAATACCATTCAACTTTTCCTTGCATGCTAAAAATTGTGTTCCGAAAAGTAAAGCTTCACTCAGCTTTGCCGTCAGTTTTATGCAGAATATCGATGTGTCAATATTGGCTGCCTCCATGTACCTTTAATACACATAATTTCTTTTACTTTTGGCAAGCAAGTGGGAGCATGACTTGACCACAACTTGTGGCATTCACTCAGTGGACATATGGCATTGAATACATGAAAATCATTTCATGCTCATGAGAATGAATATAAAAGCATGCAACAACATCAGTATACTAAACACCGCACACCCGTGTTTGTTCATTCATTATAAGTAAAATCTGGGTTATCTGCATCTTAGTTGTAATACCTGGAACATCTTAGATGATCATATCTGGGACGAAGAGATCTTGATAGGCTTTTGATTACTTCCGAACCCTAAACCCTCCGTTTGTGTTTGACCTGGACTTCCATGCAGCAATTCCGTTTCAAACGTGATGATACAAAGTGCCAACCAAAACCTAGTGATGACGTGAAGGACTTCTTCATTGTCAAAACCCTGGCTCATGATTTGCTTGAAATGTTGATGCAGGTGCAGTGTCCAGAATTGAAGCTCAACATCATTAAATTTGCTTCGCTAAACCTATCGGAGGTCTTGGGAGGGGTGTGTATCTCGTCGATTGATATGCGTTTCAATTCAGTGCAGTGGTTGATTGTCATCATACCTGGGTCAGTGTGAACCAAGTGTTGGCTGGTTGACACTTGATCGATGCATTTGAACGTTTTCGGAAGCAGATTGTAAGTTGCCACATATAGGAGGTGGGTCTTAACATGATCATGCTACACATTAGCAGAAAACTCGTCGGAGATGAATGACTGCGACTAATTCATGTTTCTGTTCATGTTCATGTGAAAACTTGATCAAGTGATTTATCTTTCTCATCCCATATTTTTTAACTGTTCGACTTGCAGTTCAGAACTTGGTATCTTTTTCACTTTCTCCATTTTTCTTCCAGATGCACCCCCGCAGGTTTACTGCCATTGTGGAGACGAGTTCAGAAATTGGAAGGTTGACACAAAATGACAAATTCAGTTTCAAAGAGGATGGTGTTTAGTAATTTCATTCTACAATCAGGAGTACTGTTTTAATGAAGTGAAGTCTACTGTCAGCTTTCTTCTTGTTTATCGATATGATTATGGGCATGTTGACTCTTAGTATGAACGGAGAATTATACAGCAAGAGTCCAGCTGATTAGTGACACGCTGTGAACAATGTTTGTTTATTTTGAGTTCATTTCGTAACTTTAAGAGTAACAAGGACTGACAGTACACAGATGCAGGACAGCACTTGCTGCGATGGTTATTAATTAGAATTCGAGGAAGACGTTGACAGCATCAGTTGTTCCAGTGCATGACGCAGGAAGTGAACTTAGAATTACTGTTGTCAATGTGAACCATGAAGTCGGGTACAAACTTTCTATAAGATAACATCAATTTTGACAGACAAAGCTTTCATGGCGAAAGATGATCTCTTCATAAAACAGGACAATAATGGAATTCCGCATGAAAAGGCTCAGAAGACCCAAGTGATGGTTGGGAAGTCATGAACACAGTTAAGCAAGGTAAACTTCAAAAGAAATAATGGAGGGACACGTCCCAAGCCAACACAAAGTAACTACGACTGACGATGATGGAACAGTGCGAGAGACTGCACAGCTTGCAGATTTTAGAAAGACAATGTCACAGCATCTCAGGAAATGAATAAGAAAGCGGAGGGTAATATGCGAGCGCAACAAGAGATGCATGAAAAGCTTGAGACGGTCCTCCTTACGGTTCAGGTAAACCCTAAACGATGATGTCGAGGTCGTCTTACAACAGGGATACGAACGAAAGACTAAGAGCAAAAAGATCCTAGAGTATTACAACCATTCGTGGGCATGTGTACTCCACAATTGAGAACCAGTTCTGATGAAAACAAGGGAAGCAAACTGAGTGGCGTCAACGTAAACACCGACAGCATGGCTAGCATCGATGGACTCAATTGACACCCAAACCAATCTACAAGTGAGTATGAGATGAAATTTTGACCAAGTGAAATCATGAGCGTGCTCTGTTTAAAAAAGAAGCATGGTATTCATTCATGACTTCGGTCCTAAAAGATTTCTAAACAATCCGCGAATAGTCTAAACTCTGAAATGTACTTACAAAAGGTCACGAAAAAAACATTCTAGCTCGTGAAGGATGAGATGATGGTTGGGGTTGCAATTGGTGGTCGCAATCAGCTCTTAAATGTGGAGAACACATGCGAAGCAATTGTGCTGCTTTCTTCCCGCCCTCTCATCCAAGCTTGGAAACGCCCATTTTCTTGACCTGCCGAGCGACACACACTTGGGCTGGAAGTCGAGGAAATCATCGTAGTCATCCCACTTCTTACAATGTGTAGAGGCAGGCAGAGATTTCGACGAGATGGAGCTTGACAACCTTTTGTATAGCGGTTTCACCAGCATTAAACTCGACCCTACCTGCAGATTGAAAACCTCGCAAGGTGAGGCACAAATTCACCGCAAGCCCCTCATCTGCCAATTTCAACCCAAGAATCTATGGCGGAAGTCCAACAAATCTGCAACCCTAATTGAACGAAAAAATTTCAGATCGACGGCCTCACATGTCCTATGAATCTGGTCAATGCTGCAACTCGTCTTGAGTAATTTGAAGAGAAATGCTTCTTGGAGTACCAATCCAGCTCCATTCAAGATCAGTCAAGCCGACTCCTCCTTGATGACAGGGTGCCAAAACTGCCCGAAGTCGACCTGATCTGAGCCTCACGACTCGCGAATCTCACAATTTTGACGGCATCACAACCCGAATGTCTTAAAACCGCCAGCACCCGCTGTGGCATGTCATCAGCCCGGGTTCTGCCTCTTTCGCTACCACTCTCCTCATCTCTTGCATTCGCACGTACCTGTGCCCATTCACAACGGCGACTCGATGCAAAGTCAAGTTCGTACAAACACTTCACATATCTCACCGCTCGAACTTGCGCCCGGTTTGCCACACCGAGATCCACTATCTATGCAAAGTCCAAACCAGCGAATGTGCACTCTAACGAACACTGACGTAACACAATGGACCTCTTTAAGGCCTCAATCAAAGCTAGGCGGCCTCCGTTGCCACGAGCACTGACAAGTACCCACAAAAGCTGGTTGGTTCTGACAACAAAGATCCCCAGACGGTGGTCACCACCACACAAGCGCACTGCAGCGTGGTCTGCTCACATCTCCGACACGATAAAACTCAACCTGATACCCTTTTACAGCACACGGACATGAATGCTTCGCCATGAAGCTGTACGACCGAATGTGAATCTGTCGGCTCTTGCTTCGATCACCTCTCTCTCTCTCCCTTTGCTGCAGTTGCAGGCCACCACCTGCAGGCGCCAACTGGTGATCTCCCTGAACTGCCTGCGATCACGACAAAAAGGGGGCCGAGGACACTGCGTGACAAATACCTGATGTACCCAATTCTGTCCAACTCCGAAAGACGAATTCTCTCGTCGATCTCGACCAGAAGAAAACGGACAACAACTCTCCGCGACGAAATGTGATGTACCCAATTCTGTCCATACCGATGCAAACTACTCTTTCGTCGATTTGCTTCACACAGCACTAGCGCCTGGCCATGTTGTGCTCTGCGGGGATTCCGTTATGAATAAAAGCAGCCGGATGGTAAAGAAAACAGCAGAAAGGACTGTATGATTTCGGGATTCGTGAACAATTTAGCTCGCATCGACGCTGGATCTCGTTGATTGCAGCTGTCATCAATTGAGATGAACACCTTCGTTTCGTGGGGTTTTGATATTCATTCATTATAAATAAAAGAAACTCAGTGGTTTTCTGGGTACTTCTTTAGTTCCGTTGTAGGATGCATTCATTTTAGCGATTTTCGTGCTTCGTCGCACAATCACAAGTAATTTACAAATCAGCCAATTCGTGTGTGTGTGTGTGCCGCGGTTGTGTTTTGATCTCCCCCCCCCCCCCCCCCCCCCCCCGAACCTGAATTGGAGAGCTGTCGCGGAGACTCCGCCTCGCCTTCTCAAGTAAGAAACCAGCACAGAGGATTTTTTTAAAAAAATATTTACATATAGTTTATTTTATTGTTTTATCTCATTGTTAATATTGTTTAATATTATGTATATACTATATGTAGTTAAGTATCATTCAATTCGAGTTATATATAAAAAAATAACATATTTGACTCTTACAATGCTTTTAATTGAAAAAGAAAAATATGATGTATTGATTCTAATTCGTAACATTTGCCATGTTAGATTTCAGATATGAACACCTTTACTAACACTAACATGTATGTATGTATGTATGTATGGGTATATACTGACACGTACACACTTACATTATAATCTTAGTAATACCACTCTGAAATTGAACACAACAAAAATCCATTACTATTCTTCTAGACCATACCAAAACAAAACAGAACAACAAAAAACATGGTTGCCATGGATTGTTTATTTAGATTTCTCTTCAAAATCTAAAGAGTAGAAACCACAAATCCAGAGAGCTTGCTACAAAATCATCAACGCAGTTTCAAAGTGACAGACAGTTGAGCTGTGTGTGTTTTTCTTTTACACAATGGTGGTGGAGACATCTTTCCGTGACCTGCACAGATCTGACGCAAGTCGAGTGACCATCCAAAGCAGCATCGGAGCTTCAGGATAAACCAGAAACACCGAACCGATCCCGGGGCTTACTATAAAACGATTATGGATGCACTGGCACCACAGCATAACAACCTGGTTTGGCCAAATACTTTGACTCCATCGCGGGTCGTCGTTGCTAACCTCGGCAAACCTCTCGCACACACCGAGATGGAGCTTCCGGTTTGCGTTATCTCTAGCTTTCTTCGTAAAACTATAACATCCTACCTGATGCCAGGTTTAGCCTTGCAGCAGATCCGGTCTGCCTGGAACCCGAGCAAACACACTGAACCTAACTCTGGAAAGCTGGCAACGCGGTCTCGATGAGAACTGAACAATGCCAACCTCACCAACTCTCTCCTTCTGATTCTGGCCGAGATTCAACATCCCAGGAAATGCATCTCCCCGCATTTTCTGAACCATTTTAGCCTGTTGCTCCGACCCACGAGGCTCTCCGGTTCATGGTGTCGACAACTTTCCAGGATCACAGCCCTTCTTCTTTTTCTGAATTTTGTGTTGTTTTCACTCAATGGTGATGAACAAACGGAGGTTGTCAGTGTGTGTGTTCGTGTGTGTATGTGTTAGTGATCAGGTCCGTGCACGCGAGACTTGCATTCTGTAAGTGAGGAGAGCGCGCGTTGTAACAGATGATGAGCCATCTTCTGCAACCCATCTCCTCCGGTGCCTTTATTATTATTAATATTATTATGTGCTTTTGTTCATCGATTGCAAGCTTCATGTGGACTGCTTTGCTGTGCTGTTGGTCTACAAAATGGTTCCATTCCATCGACATACTTTGACACATTCACTGCAACGCAATGTAAATGAAAGGCACCGTGAGTCATGCTCATAGAACACCGGCACCATGTGACGTTTTTCCGATTCTGATTCATTGATTAATCACATCCTGACCCCACTTGATGTGTTGTTATTGCTCTTCTTGACAATCCTATTGTTTAACTTCGCTTGGAATTAGGCAAAGATTTGACTTACTCTTATATTCTTTTGATCGTGAAACCTTCTCATGTGAGTTTGTTTGCTTGTTTGTATGTATGTATGTTTTCTTTTCTTTCTTTTCTTTTTATTTTTTCTTATTGTTTTATTCTGTTTTGCTTTTTGATGTTTGTGGTTCTTGGTGAGTTTGAGGATTCTTTTGTGGGTCATTGCTGTGTTCTTGTGTGGTGAATGTTGGGAATATTTGTTGTGGTTTTTGAAAGTTTGCACAGGCCAATGCTTCAACTTTATTTTAAGAGATTTTTTTTTAATACAATTAGATAGTGAGAGATTGATGGTATGAAATATGATGTGACTTGTGTTTTGATAAAACAATCAATTCTAAGGTTTTTCTGTGCTTCATATTTTGTATGTAAATTTTCTAAACGGGTCCTTAGTAAAAAAATGCCCTCTTGAAGGTATATTGCAATTCTCTGTTATACTTTTAACTAGTTTTTAACCTTGAAGGAGTATCTTATAAATCATTTTAATTAGTAATGGATGCCTTTTAATTTTTTATTTCTTTAGAATAAATAAATAAATAAAATTTCCATGATTATATTAGTGGTGTAAAAATGAAAGATGAAAAATGCACGCTTTGCAAAGGTTTTAAGCCATGTCTGTGGGATTTAATTGATGCATGAAAAATACAGATATAAAATTTTAAATATTGATGAAATTTTGAATAAATATATGATTTAGCGTGTTCCTTCACAATCACTAAAATCGATCATGAATGTTAATTTTGAAGTAATCTATTTAAACTATGTAGTCTTTACAAATTAAAGCAACAGGCTTTCCTCAATTAACTTTTATATTTCATTCATTAAAAACATGACAACCAAAAATTCTCAGGCATGATTATTTATAGTATTTTATTTGTAACAGAATAATTACAACAACGGTTACATTTAAAATTTATTTTAGTTATTATGTCTGATTTTCTTTTTAATTTATTAATTTAGAAAAAAATCGTCTCTAAGATTACATAAATAAATAAATAAAACTCTATGAACATTATAACATTCTTATTTTAGTTACATAAAATGTGTTTTATAATCTACTTGAAGTAAGACTGCAAATTTGAAATTCCTTGATAATTTACATACTGATCATATAATAGTAACAAGATTTAGTAAGAATTCAAAGCACAAACCTGTTAAGAACATTACGTGTTTTTTGAAAAAAATTATATTAAAAAATAAAACTTATTACATTAATTTATTCACATATAAATATATATATATATATATATATATGTAAAATTGGTAAAAAAAAATGAGCAACGAAATATTTATATTATATTAAAATAGCACTAAGAAAAATGATGTCGTCAAGTACTCTGCAAGTTCAGTTTGATAAAACAATTTTAAAAGTGATAAAAAATAAATTTCAATGTTTTTGAAGAAATTAATATTTGTGGCCATATTAACAAACATGTATTTTTCCTTTGTAATGTTAGATGATGATAAAATCATTTTCAAGTATACAAATATATACAAAAAAAATATAAAAGGTAGCAAGAAAATGTTCTTAGATTTATTTCTGGTTTTTTTTATCAGTATTGATTTATTTATATGTAATTTTTGGCAATTTTAAATCCAAAAAATATTTTTATTTATTGAATAGATATACAATTTTATATTTATTTTCTACGTATGTGTGTGTATAGAAAATCAATAGCAATGGTTTGTTAATAATTTATAATCGTTTTCAAATATTATTTAATACTAAGAATCACTAATTCAAATTCACAAGGAATATATATATGTTATAAATTTTATTTGTTAAATATTAAATTTTATTTTATCTCATTCTCCTTTATTTATTTTTAATTTTAATTTATTTATTTATCTCCTCTTTCATTTTTCCATTATTAAATATGCATACTCTGTGTTAAGGTTTTTATGTGACATACTATTTAATCAAGATTTTATTTTTTTACTTTTTTATTCCTTGAACAATGATAATATGTATAAGGAAAAAGTGTGAAAATTCAAGTTCTTAGTAACTCTTAATTCCTTCTAGGGTCAATGCTTTCATACACTCCATGATGACTATACTTCCTTATTATATTTTTCCACTTGTCAATGACAAACCATTTTTAAGATTTGACTTTGTAGGACAAGAAAAAGATTGAGGGTATTGTGAAGGAAAAGCTTAAAAAATATTTTTTAAAATAATAATAATAAATAAATAAAATCAAAATATGTTTTGTAATAACAAAGTAGTAAAAGCAACAAAACGTGTAGAGAGTGTATCCATTAAGGAAAACCATTTAAGGAACAAGGGAGATGCATCACTATTCATCCGTTAGACACTTTGGATAAATATGCCATGAAACAACGTTCATCCTCCAAATATATGGATGAATAATAGTATATATTTGGGTCTCGAGACCAGGCAATCCCCGGCTTATCCACCATGAGGAGTTCTGGTAAGGGTTTTACAGATTACTGACAAGTCTTCTGATAAGAAGTCCTCACAGTTCTGGTGAGGTTGGAACTGAGCTTCAACACAGGCGTGATTGAATTTGCAAGAACCACCCACCCATGAACATTTGGAACTTGCAAAATTGGACAGAGATATATATTAAAAAAAATAAAAAATAAAAATAAAAAAACCAATACTTATATGTAGGTCTATTACAGAACGCCAGGTAAAGAAGATCTACATACACAATTGTGCTAAAATCCCATCAACCGACGCTAATCTCAATAAGCTACTCCCTTCTATTAAGTGAGTTGAGATGCTCACGAACATCTCAGAAATATGTCCATGAGCTTGACCATCATCTAACCCTAAAGAAGTCGTGCTACACTCTAGCTTTTTGCAATCACTACTCATAATTGTCAACTCTTTTGTACCTATCGCCTGGCCTTATGCATCTTCCATGGCCACGGTGCTTATGATTGTGATTATTATCAGAATCCGTGAAATAGGCCCACTCTGAATAGACAGCCTAATCCTCATCGTAGAGGTTACGATATTTCTCTTCTCATTTGCCATTTGAATCACGAGTGAGTTCCAAACCCTCACTGGCATTATTACTGGTATGTCCTCCATTGAGAAGGAACCATATTTGCAAAGTCAGACATAACTGAGCTGTTATTGGTTTGTGCTACTGCAGCAGGCGCTGGACGCGCGAATAGGTCCGGAGGCCGATACAATCCAGGTGGTCGGTATGGAGCAGGCACACGACGTTGTGGGGTCGAAGAAGTCAAGGCTCCTACCCCTGGCAAGTTCACGGCAGATCCATTGGCGGTGGTCGATGCGCTGCTTCCAGGACTCAGAGGAACCAAATGCTGATTAAAACTAGAGGCAGTCGTTGTCAGGGATGGGAAATTGGATGTCGCCGTACCATTCACACTCATCCCAGATGAAAAGAAATCAGAAGGAAGAAAAAGGGGTCTACCAGCAGTCCCAGAAGTGGTCACATTCGTTGGGGCAATCGTTTTAGGACTTGTGCTGCGAAGGCTGGCACTCACCGACTGTGCGGAACTCTGCTTTGGTACGGGAATTCCAGGAGGAGGCTGATCTGGTGAAAACTGCCGGAATGGATAGTGCTGATTTCCTACTTTTACGGCGCTGCCCTCGAATCCTGCTGGGTCACCAGCGTGATATTGTGAACTTGAAGAGGAAGGACGCGACGTGCCTTCTCGAAACTGTACTGCCCCGTTGTAAATATCCACCAAGTTGCTTGAAATCGATGACACGGAGTTTGTCAAAGCAGACCTGTCCCATGCATTAGACGCTCCGTTTTGGGTAGGTAATGATGAACTGGGTAACGTTCCCACCAGTCGAATGTCTATCACGCTGGATACCTTATTATTGCAGATGGGACATAGTTTTACGGCCCTTGAACACACCGTGCAGCAGCACATATGTGAGCAGTTCAACAAAACCTGCAGCATAACAAGACGTCAGAAACCTGGTCCACATAGGACCACATAGCGAATGCGCGGGCTACTTCAATAACTCTCTACACCAAGAAACCAGCAACTACACTAACATGCAAGGCGGCAAACGAACCATGAAAGGATAACATCAGTTATCACATACAATGTTGTCAAGGTAGAAAACAGCCAGTTCCCAAGCAGATGCAAAACTTCGCCAGGAGAGAAGGCCACGAACTCAACCACCACTCATAAACAAAAGCAAAAATCAAAACTAGAACACATTTCGTAAAACGGACGTACCGTATTTGCTGCATCTCGATTGCACACAGCACAAATGCCAGGTTGTCGCTGGCTCCCTGTAGACTTCACTGATTCAGTCTGCAAGTCCTGCTCACTGGCATTCTTCGGAACAGCAGCTGTTGGAGACTCCACAGGGTCTGAGATGTAGTCCAGGAAATCTGAACTTCCGTAAGGAAGTAAACTGTGCCCATCACTAGAACCGCGAGGGGAGTTCCCTGTAAGGCTTCCATTCCCAAACTCTCCGCTAGTAGGAGACCCTAACTCATTCCTTGACTCTGACAAACCGGGTGGCGAAGTTGCACTGAACGAGTTAGAATGTCGCAAATGAAGAGGAGCGTACGATCCCAATCTTCCTTCCAAGGATGGCAGATGGGAGTGCGAGCTGGCGATGCCACTCTGACCGGGGCCTGCACTCACATTCTTATCTCTCAAATGGGGAGGTGTGGATGTGGAACTCCCACCTTGGTTCCAACTGCTCCGTCCAACTAAAGAACCACTGCTGGAGGATGCCATTGTATTAGTAGTGCTATTCTCTACACCTCTAGATGATTCTCCTGAGATATGGTGTTCCGGAGAAGCTAAACGAGAACCAGGGGTCGACGATCGAGCATGAGGCATCGAAACCACTCTGACCAAAGGCTTTTCGATGTGCTCCAACGAGAACACACCACCTGATGGAGCTTCTTCAGACCATGGGTCAGACACTGGCTGTCCATGAAAAGCCCGAGAATTTCCAGAAAAAGAATTAGAACCTGTGTCGTTTCCACAGTTTCTTGAACTAATGTCCAGTGAACGGGCTCTTGTAATTGTAGAAACAGGGGGTGTTGGGGGAGCAGAAACAGCAACATGCTGATTATTGAGTGGAGGAGTTTCATTAAAAAACTGCTTACGCATATTCTCTACGCGCTCTCGAAACAGAATATATTTATCTCGATCAAGAATCCTACTCAATTTTTCCAACCGTTCATTCAAATCCCTGGGGGAACAATTGAAGGATCACGCAAATCAGCTCTAAAAAAACGTGCATAGAAGAGTAAAGCACAGTAATGAAGAATATGGCCACCTTTGACTCCAGAACAGCATTTCGTCAGTAACACATACTTCATTGCATTCAAACTTTTTTCAGCTCAGACCCCGAATCAATGAAAGCATCTCAGATTTGAAACAACCACAGTCATTAGAGCAAAAATCTTTGACATGTAAATAAATGTTTTTTAAAAGTTGTGTTGAAGCTTCAGAAGAGGCCCACCTGCGAGAGAGTAGGCAGAGCCCAAAAGCCAATGTATCACAGGCAGCTGTAATCTCGATTAAAAAATAGTGTCCACCTGAACGATTAAATCCATCCAGAAGTTCATTTACAACAAGTAGTCGCATGTCTTCTCCAACTGAAACAAAACCCACAACCCGCCCCCATAAATACGTCAGATCACTCACAATATTCCAACAATGCACTTGTACAAGACTCACAAGGTACCACAACCTTGTCAAAATTTCCATTCCTTTTCCCACGTCCGCCCAAATATTTTGATTACAGCAAAAGATTCCATGCAAAACTGGCACTTCTTTAGTACCACAAGGCACTTACCACAAGGAGTTGCCAGGCATGCCCGCACTAGCTTAAATCCAAATCCAAGCGTATCAGATGCCAATTCCACATAGTGTCCTTGTAGGCCTTGAATTACATGCTCCGCCACCTCCTTCACCTCCAGACTGTCACACAAAAGTGGCACAAGCTATATTCACAGACTTCTTTAATTGGAAGCAAGTAGAGATCCAAAGAAACTCCACACACTCTTAAGAATAGCTGATTTAACTTGTAGTTGTCACATTAGATAACTGAAACCTTTTGATACATCAAGGATCATCTGTCATACTCCTCACACAGCGCTCAATAACTGTCCTTACCAGACATAAGAACATCTCATGGCCACGTGCACTCATCAACATGTATAACTTGATCAAAGAGAACTTGTACATCGAACCAGTCTAAAACGCCTCCGTCAAACGAATAATGGGCAACAAAGCGAGTCAAACAAGATATGTCTAAAGATGCAACTCACGTAAGCACACCCTGCAGTGTCCGATGGGATAGCTTGGACCCAATAAGATCACCAGACATATTTGCTAGGCTTAGAGCTGCAGTCAACGCCTCAGATTGTGGCAACGCCCATCGTATACACTCTACAAGCATTATTCCACTCATCTGTACCAAGAAACCGCACCTTGTTTAAGCATGCAACCACCGAGCCTTTCTTATCATCCACCATCATTTTGCAGACCCACGTCAGGTACAATCACCATCTACTTACAAAACTCCCCTAGAGTGGGAAACAAGAGTCTCAATCAACTTCACCCAAATCTTAGAATGTTGATATCCAAACAGGCTACCACACTCTCGTCAGGTAAAGCGTTGAGAACCCCTTCCACGAAATACACAGCATATACAATTCGTCATAAAAGTCAGGCTTCTTAACTCCACACACAGACACGGTATTGTCGACGATGACCTGGTGCTTAGCAATGCTGGCTAAGGAAGCTGGATCCGTGTGAATTTCTTCACAAATCTGCGCCAAAGTCTTCATTGCAATCTTTGATGGAATTCGCGGCTTCTTTCCCGGTGCAGGGTTCAACGATGTTATCATTGCCTCCACCTGTCAAAAACTCCCCAAGTGAAGTCTAATAAACCTTCACGTTCCAGTACTCTAAAGAAATAGGCCACTTACAAACTCTACAAAAGCAGCATATTCCAGCTGCCATTTCCCAGTAAAAGCGCAACCATTAAAACGCATAAGGGGTCATGCAGTTTCAGATTTCCTAAACATTCATGACCGGGAAAAACACAACCAGGTAAGGTGAAGTGGAGAATCACCAATCGCTCCAAAACATAAACTCCGAATTGATCTAGCGCAAGTTGTACCTACATATGCATTCACAAGAGTCCGAAAACGATTACTTCGCATTACCATTATTCGATCACTGATGTAAGCACTGACCTCAGTGGATGCATAGAGTAAGCTTTAGAAAAAAGATTAGCAAAAGTGTATGCCGCATGAATCACAAACAGACACTCCCATTGATAGAGACGATTAAAGGGAATCAAGGAATAGAGCACAGTAGCTACAGTGGCTCAACTAAGGTGTGAGCGACTTCCTACAACTATCTGTTGCCCATGGAAATGAAGATGTCCATAACGGAATACAATTACACTATATTTCTAACTACCACCCCTCTCTAAACATACCCAATCATATTTTGCGCCAAAAGGAGGTTCCAACTGCAACTACTTACCACAGACCCTCGAATACATGTCGCTACTAAACTTGCTTCCTCCGTACCTTTTAATGACACCAGCTGCATTACAAGTCATTGCATTTAGCGAACCATAGTCATCAACCTTACATACATGCCCTCCATACTAAAGCTTACAATGAACGCCGCTATAATCTTGTTAGCATGAACCACAAAGAGTGACTAGAGAACTCTAACACCAACCTAGAGTAGTTCAAGAAAAGAAATGGTTGCACAGTTTTGACAAGGCACAGCATATCTAACAATCATGACACAAAACAACATCGAAGGTCATGAGTCAACCAAGTTGCTCCAATCTAATCGAGACAACAGACTTTACAACGTAACATATTTCAAGCAAACCAACAACCCCCCGGGTATTCCTGCATATGCTGAAGAATTAGCGAACGCTCACCATCTTTTGGACAGAAAATGTGCCTCGATGATCCTGGGCGGCCATCACCAACCCTCTATCCTGACAGAAAGAACGGACAATGGCTGTGAAGAAGCTTTCGGAGTTACCACCTTCTCCCCTGTGAGTCGCAGCATATTCCAACATTCTTTGCAATACGTAATTTCCAGAAGCTGCTCACACAAGCCGCGCCATCAATTGCTGATTAGTACTAGAAAACAATCGTGAGGGCGAAATATAGCTAAACAGCTTTTACGACTGGCCAAACTATACATAATCCCGTCGTTTACTTCAACAGTTTACAACCTCCTCCAACCCTTATAGCATCTAGCTATGAGCCGTTCAGCTCAGCTTACCATGAACGGCTAGTTTAGCAGCAAAAGGAGTAAGCATTTCTCGACAAAGTTTTGCAACTTTATGACGCTTCGAGTATCCATCTCGTAACATAAAATCTAAATGTCTAGCACCCTGCATGCACGAAAGAGTAACGCTCCATTATAGCCCATTCATTTCATCATGCTTCTAAGCACAATATAAAAATATTGACATGCCTGCTGCAATTCCAATTTACCATCACTGACAACACGCCAAACATCACGTTGGGATCAAAACATCACCGTTCGATCCATGGCCATGCTCACTATGTCGTCTGTATCTTTTAACGGAGGTACTATGTAACCAGGTAATAAATCATCCGTTCGTGTACTTAACCGCAGACCTCCCCCATCACTTCCAGTAACACCTTTAGGAGGTGTATAATCATTTCCACCGCCAATAGATACTATACCCCCTCGACCATAAGGTTTCTTGACCGACGTGTCAGCTATTGCTTTCGAACCTTGCTCCGAATTTCCTCCCATTAGAAGAGTAAAAGATGCTGATTCAGGTGGAAAAGGAGAATTAGCTGGACGACGTGATGGAGGCGAATCTAAATATGATTCTATCACTTGCCGGCAAAATGGACATCTTACGCCTTTATCAGCCTGCAAATACAACAGAAACATGTTAAAACTAACTGAATTCCACATCCGGATGTTGTCAACACTTACGTTTGTATCTACAAGAGGACAACATCCTAAAAACCTTCATAGGATCTCAAGGCTCGACAACTGGATTAGGCACGACAGCATCCATGTACATAGTATCTTTAGTCATAAATAACACCAAAGGAAAACTAAGGAGTTCCAGTAACATAATCGAATCTATGTTGCCTATCAGTTCTGTCATGCCAAATACAATACTACAATATAATAACTAGGTCCGACAGGTAAATCATCCAACTATGCTAATCCTGTCATAAACCACGATTGTCTTGCATTGGCATTGCTCGTTACCTTATAAACATTTGCAATACGCATTTTCTGAACGCACGAAGCACAAGCTTTATGCCCACAGGGACTAAACCAAATATCACAAGCTCCATCTTCGCCCATACATATATCACATGAGTCATCATCTGGAATTGCATCCACCTGCGCCGACCTACTGCCAGATTCAAGAGCTCCCGGACTTCCTGCGTTTCTCCAAACAGCTGCCATGGACGAAACTTTCTTCTGATACCCAACTCTCACTATACTATAGCTATAATGTTCAATGGGAATGAGTCTGTGCTAACAAAAATTTATGTGAGTGTTTATTGGGAAAAATTATGACCACGCAGAACTAGACTTATGATGTACATGTGCTGCAAATACCTTCTGAGTTATGTGAAGTTAATAAAATATCACTAAAACCTCTAATACGTTTGGCCTCCTTTGGAGGAATAATCCAAACCAAGGAACTAAAAAATAAATAATCTCGGGATTCAGCTAGATACGCAAAATTGTAAATCACACCAACGTCAACTCCAAGATTGCGTCCGTGTTCTCCACTTTGAACCGCCAGACGAGCTTCTTGAGAAAACCATAAATCTACCAATTCTTCGTTGGACGAATAGGATGATTCCACGGCTCCATACGTTACACAACATCAATAAAAACGTTCCAACGCCCCACCGATCAACCCTAATTATCAGACCTAAGCGGAGTTTCTGCTGTGAAGATCCGAAGCAGTTGCAGAATACTGTTCAGCCCCTTAACCTGGAAAAACAAGACCACAAATTGATACCAAAATACTCAGTTATCTGCAGATAATTGACATATAAAACGGGGTTTATAAAAGTTAACATCATGGGCAACATGTTAAAAATAGGTATAACTAACTTGTGCGCCATTTGGATTTAACCTTTTCAACGAATTCAATATACTAGAATTCAGATGAACTCAAACAAACCCTGCAGAACCGTTCCACGACGATAAAATCCATAGCTCCGAATTGGAGTGTTAGTTCTAGCCAAGCAACGCAATCCAACTAGAAACTAGTCAGTGTATCATCTTGAACTGAATGTGAAGAATCATAGCAACTCCTAAACATGCAACTGTTCTTTAACAAAAAGTCAAACTAGAGGACCACCATAATCAATTGTCAGCAGCGCTTCTAATCCTTCCTTGTCACCAAAAATCTCAACCACTTTTTAAACACACATATCTCCGAATAATGATCCCTTTTACAGAATTCAACACCTAAATCCAGCACAGTATACCTGCATTTCATCCACACCTCTGCGACGTACCTCCAATTAAAAAGACGGCCATCACCGCATCGAATACAGAAATACCTTTTCCCTACAATCTCTCTTTCTCTCTCTCGCGCTCTCTCTCGCTCGCTCATCTACCGTCTTCCACCCGACAAACTCCTCCTTGTCCACAGCCTTCAATCCCAATTCCACCCTTCTTTATGCTCCAGGACAATAAACCACGATCTTCCGGGTTGCAAAAGCAGCAGCAGCACATATCACCAGAGGAGAGCCTGGCATTAGCCTCACTCACTGCATCAATGGCTCCAGTTGTGTCGCTCGCTAACCCTCGCAAAGCAGCACCAACGTCACCTCACAAAGCAAAGCAAGGCAAGGCAAAGGCAAGGCAAAGGCAAGGAAAGGGCAGGGCCAGGCAAGACCAATGACGCCTGCCCCCGATTTCATCACTTCCCGGGAGAGGACGCCCTGTTCTGCTCTGGAACTGGCCCCCGCCCCTCTGCTCCGGTCCCACTGGGACGGAACCCCAGACGGAATCTGCGGATGGAACCGGCTTGCTCCTTTCATCGAGGTTATTGCATTTCTCTTCGCTACAGATAAATAAGTCATGTAAACCAAAGTCGTCTGATACTTTTTCCACAAGTTCGGGCTTTTGATTTATTATTAGGATGCTCAGCTTGGTTGGTTTTTACATAATAAAGATGCGTTTTTAATGTTGAATTAAACAAATAATTTTTCGAGATGATTTAAAACAATTACGATGGAAGATGTTAGGGTTCCAAATCGTACATAATCTTTATTTATTTATTTATTTATTGATTCGATTTAAAACTCCTCTTTAAAAAAACACGTAGGAAGGTTTAAAGTAAAATAAAAATAAAATAAAATAAACTGGTAATAATTTTAATTTAAATGAATCAATAAATAAATAAATATTTTGTTTAAAACGTCTCGAACATGTTGAGAAAAAATGAAATAAAATAAAATTCAATAAAATTCAATTCATAAGTTTCTTTGATTGTTCATATTATCCAAGTTTTAATAAAAGAACATTGTAGACATGACATAGTTAGTACTTATGAATGAAAGTAAAAAAAATAAGAAGAATGGGTTTAAATTTGGAGTGCTAGAGTAGTCTTTATTGAATATGTTATAAATACTGCAATAATCTTAGAAAAGGCATCAATTTTAATAGTAGCTTAATTTAATTCATCATTTTTGTAAGAAGACTCCTGACCATTCAACATGACAAATTGAGCCAAGTTAACTCATATTACACATAGAATATATATATAAAATTAAATGTACCTAACTCATATTAGCTATAACTATACCTATTTCAAAAAATATTCTTAAATGTGAGTTTTATTTTATGCCAATTTTATTTTATAAAATAATTCCACGTATACATGTAATTCTAAAAAAGTTATATCGGTTTTTTAAAAAATATTGTGACTGTAATCACGTTCAACTGACTTAGTATGCAATACAATAAATATCTGTAGGGTGATGAACAAATGATTTTTTTTTTTTGATTAAGCCCAACCATCATCTTTTTCGAAACACGAAACTTTAGTTATGAACGTTCAGAAAATTCTTCCCTTACGAGAAAAATTGAAAAAGCACAAAGTGATTTAATGAGAGTCACGGTGGGACCGCCAACCCGAATCCATACCCCGGTAACCAGGGGGACTCTAATTGATACCCTCTCCAAGAAATACCCGCAACAAGTTTTTCTAGCAGAAACTACTGACACCCTCCTCGAAACAGCCATTTTCTTGTGCCGGGCATCAATAGCTAGTTTCCCCTGTTCTCTCCCGCCTTCCAAATTCATTTTTCAAAATTGAGCGTTGCCTCATGACCTCTGACTGTGTGTGTGTTCTCCGTTCTTGCCTTCGTCCCCAATCGTTGACTCCTTGCGATTTCCTCACCTTCTGATTTCCAGCCTCCGTGTGTTCCACTTCAATTAGGGTGTTTTCGCCACTGTGAGAATTTTTTTTGAAGTCGTTTGGGCGTGCTGCGAGTACAAATCTGGTTGTGATGAGGGTTTCCGAGCTTCGGTTGTGTTTTGGTGGATTCAACGATGGCGAATTTGACCACTGTGAGTTCTGAACCCTAGTCGTCTGAAAACCTTGGTTTGTTGCATTTTGTCTACGATTTGGGTTTTGTGAGAGACGCGTTGCGAAATTGAGTGTCATCCCTGAGGTTCTAAAAATTTGTGGAAGCTGTTTTGGGTTTTCCACTACTTGCTTAAACATGAAGCTTGTGCAGAGTAAAGGAATGGAGGGCTCGGATAAGATGTCCGATTCCGGAGAACTCGGGACAAAGATGGAGGGAAAGAATACAGCACTGCAGGAAAAATGCCAGACTTATCTGGATTTGTGGGCTCATCGCAAGGAACATCTCCAACAGGCAGACAAAATGGCCAAGGTCGATTGTTTTCGTTTTTCAGTAGTTGCTATGCTTTTTTCCTATTATTTTTTATACAAAAGTTGTGATTGTTGATAGTGAGAGCTGTGCATTGACCTTGTGTATACAGTGTTACCTTTTCAACTTTTGCTGGATGTGTCAATTGCAGGCGTTTTGCTCACAACGGTTGTCCTCTTTGCACTCTTATTCAGTTCATGCGGATTTTTGTTGTACAGGCTGCCTGTGCAGGTAAACACGCAAACTTTTCGCTGGCATGCGCAAATGCTAAGCTCAACGTCTCCCTCACAACTGAGCGGTATCGCGCTTATCAAACCGAGTGTAAATTGGGTAAGATACATCTTGGCCTGTGCACAACCAGAATGGCAATTTCAATGAATATCGTATGTGCTTTTACTTCAAGCCTGTTTAACGAAAAAGCTCGTGCTCTTTCTTTGATTTCAGATGACGCTGCGATCAAGATACATCATCTAGAATGGAATGTATCGGTCCTGAAAAACTTGATCCAGAAGGAAAAGGTAAGGTACGCTCTTGCAAATGGTCACACTAATGTTTTTTAAATTTGATTCGCGCAGGGCATTCCGACACATGTGAAAGAGTTGTTATGAAACGAACCATAAGTTCGAAGCGATCTGAAGAGGTGAGTTATCTGGGATTTCGCTCAAATACATATTGATTTTGGTTGATACGTGTGTCTGCAGGAAAAGGCTCATGCAGCCGAGCAAAGAGCCAGAACCATTCTCGAAGCGCAGAAGCAGGTGGAAGCTGCCCATGCCTTTCACAAGCAGGAAGTAGAGGTAATTAGGAAGGAGCTTCATCAGAAGCTTATAGAAAGCGATTCAAGGTGCCAAAAATTGCAGCATGAAGTTAAGGTGAGGGTATTGTTGACGTTAATTCATCCATCTTTTTAGCTCCAGATTGTGGTGTTTTTCAGATGTATCGTCCCAACTTCACTTTTCACATGCTTCTCTCAAGTCCTTATGTACTCAGTCATTGTGCACTTGTAGGAGAAGAGCATGGACCTAAAAAACGGTCAAAATGAGCTGAGAAAACTGCAGAAGACATTAGGAGAGATAGCACGAGCACGTGATGACGCTCTTGTTCAGGTGCATTTGTTGGATCCCTTATTGCGAAAATTAAATTGAAAAGTAGAAAATAAAGTAAGCAAGAACTGTTGTAGTATAAATCTCTGTCGTCGCATGCTGTAGCGTTCGTTCCAGTGAACGACCCAGTCAATTTCTTGAAATGGTGCTTGCTAACCATCGTTGGTGATCATCTCTACTCTTACAGGTGTCATTCCTATCGTTCGAACTGGCTGAGTTAAAAAAAGATACTGCTCTTTTCGCCGACAGAATTGCTGATCTCGACCCCAAAAACCCTTCTTCAACAAGCTATAAGCTGCATGAAAGTATTCAAAAGAAAGCAGCAGAAATGGAGAGGCTGTCATCAGTGATAGCTTCTAAGGATGCTATCATGGAGGCCTTGCGCGTAGAGAAAGAATCGTTGCAAACTCAACTTGAGGTCACCACAAAGGATGTCCTGGGACGGAGGGACGCTTTTGAGGAGATCCAGAGACAAGCAGCTGCGGTATGGACTAAGGATAAGTTGGGACCCTCCGTCATTGGGTTGATTGATTGCGTCATTCAATTTAATTAATTAATTAACTAACTAATTTTTGAGAAGTCTCGGTTTTTCCGAGAAGGATTAAGTCGCCCTTTCAAAAATCACATGCCAGTGAGCCAGAGTAGTTTTGTTTCGTGTTCAGGCAGAGAAAGAACACAAGAGGGCCCTGAAGGTGTTGGAAAAGGAATCTGCTGCAGCGAGCAAACTTGTGGCGAAGAAGGAACAAGCGCTACAGAAGCTGAAGCTGCAACTAGAGAAACTACTTGAAGGGCATCAACAAATGAAAAAGGTATGAAGGGCATCAATCCAGTCTATCAGATGCTTTAGTGCTGAAGTGTGCTGTCAATTTTCTTCAGCATTGGCTGCTCGTCTGTTGTTGATCCATTTGGACAAATCTTTATTCCAAATTTTCACATCTTTGGTTGGTTTGCAGGAGAATGCGGATAACAAAATACAGCTGAAGGATCTTGAGAAAAAGTGCACAGAAGCTGCAAACAAATTGTCTGAGAAAGAGAATGCCTTGGATAAAGCTATGGAAGAGATTGACGAGCTACGTATGCAGAATGCGGGCTTGGCGGTGCTTTTTGAAGATCGCGAGAACATAGAGAAGGTGAAGTATAGAGAACATAGAAAACGTGAAATTACGTAGTTCTCGTGATTTCTAGGCTGGTGTACTGCACAGGTTGAACTTAGTATATCTTCTTGAACGAAAAGTTGTTGTGCTGCAGGAGGGAGAAAGCAGCGAACAAAAGCTGAGGGAGCTTGATTCGCAGATTGCGACGACTGCCAAGTCCTTGGCTACCAAGGACGAACAATTGAAGGAAATAACTCAACGTTTAGAGGAGGTTCACAAGGAAAATGCAAGTCTTCTATCAAAGTGCTCTGCTTTGGAAGGGAATTTGGAGCGCGAATCCTCCAAGGTGCGCTTTACATTGAAATTTGAACACGATATTGATATTAGAGTTCTTAACTAAGTCACAGGATTCCTCTATGTTTATTTGTACATACTCTAGAAGTTTATTGCAGTTTGTTAAGTCTTGTTGTGTACTCTATTGGCCAACTTACGACATATTTTCCCACAGGCGTGCAAAGAATACAAGCAGAAGTTGGAGCAAATGGAAGAGCAGTATAATGTTGCCAACACTTTGGTGGGTAAACTTGATAAAAAAATAGAGAAAATTACTCAGAAGCTTGCAGATTCGGAACAATTACGTACTTCTGTTGAAGATAGTTGGACACAGCGACACTCAGAGGTGAGATTAATTAAGTAATTCGTCTGAGATCATTTAATTTATTTTTGACGTACAATCTGGCTGAAGTAAGATTGAGTTGGTGATGAACAATTTCTCTTGACCTAGTGAATGAACGGCTTACATTGACATGATCAACGAATATACGCTCCTCGTTTCAACATGGACTGCATTGCTTGAATTTGCAGAAGGTGGAAATGCTAGTGAGTCAATTGAAGGAGGCTGAAAGGAGATGTACTGCAGCTACTAGGCTGGGAGATGAAAAGGAGAATACGTTGAGAATGATTAAGAAACAGCTCGAGGACACTCAGAAAGAAAACGTCAGTCTAAGAACTCGACTTTCTGATCTTGAGCGACAAGAGGAAAGTGAGGTAAAACCCATTTCTGGACCATTGCTTTCCATCCTATCGACAGAAAATTTACTTCAGCGTGGTAGGAAACTCCAATCTTCCAAATTCACATACCGTTGTTCTCCTACTAAAGTCGTTTAAGACAATCAAATCTCATTCAGTTTGAAAACTATTGCCGTCTTCTAATTCTTGGCTTCAATATCATGTTTTTTTTTCGTACATTTTGAGTATAGATCCGCTAAACAATTGTCGCAAGGTTTTCATTTGGAGTAGCGACTTAACTTTTGCTGCTTGCTGAAACGATTGTGATAACGGCAGATAAGTTTAGGTGATCGGGGTCCGAAAATTCAAAATGGAAGAGGAGCAGCCGTAGGTGGAGATGCCTCTATTCGAAAGCCATTGGTGGAAATTTCTGACAATGATGTTCGGAGTTCAAGAAGAGTTGCACGGGGCAGGAAAAGCTCCGTGGAGGTAATATTCTTTACGTACAAATTCACGACTTTGATACTGTCATTTGTGGAGGTTTCGTTGTACATCTGTCAACAATTGGCTTGCGCCACGTTGACAGGTGTAGCGGTTTCTTCCCGTCTTCTTGTAAGGGCATCTATTTCATTCTGCACTCTCGTTGTTAATCTTTAACCCACAGTCGTCTTCTTCTAATACAAGCGCTTCCACATCAGAATGAATCAGGTAAAGCAGCAAAACAAAAGAGGGCTGTTGATCAGGCAGCGGACACCTCGTCAGATGATGAAGCTCCTACGCCTGCGCCCAAGAAAGGATCTACCAGAAAGCGTCAGCTGAAAAAGACAACAGGGGATGTGGATCCAACTCCGTCAGTAAGTCACTTTCCTGGCATCTTGAAAAAAGTATCGTAACTTGGACAACGGTTCAGTTATTTTTAAGTTAGCACTACATTTTCTTTCTTTTTTTTCTGAAATTTCCGATGTCTCTCTCACAGGCAAAGAGAAGACCTCCAAGAAATCCGAGCACTGCCAGCAAAAGATTAGCAAATCCAGGAGGGAACGCTCTTGCCCAGCTTTTGGTGGGATCCACTCCCTTACCACCAAAGTCTATCAGCCTGCATGCCCCTACAACTGGCTCGAAACGGAAACTCGGATCTTTCTCTGGGAGCTTAATGAGATAATCTGCCAAATAGAGTGGTATGTATTATGTATTATTTAGATCCATTAATGACTCACTTACGAGAGTTCGTTACATGTACAATACGCAAATTGTCTACCAGTGTGTTTTATTGAGATCAATTTACGAGGGGTGGCACGTGATTTTTTCTTCTTGCAAAATATCTGAAGTTAAAAAATTTCTGCCACTGCTGGTCAAATAGCTGCCAGATTGTGATATCCGTCCATCATTTCCAGTATTGTAAAAGGTTATCAATGGAAATATGCCCCGTGCAAAACGCATTTTCGACACTGAGACTACAGTTCTGTTGACATCGTCTACTCATACGAACGTCACCGATTAACTCCCGAACGCTTTTAAATAGTTCACTCCGAACGTAATCCTGCAATTTTGTCTACCTTAAATGTTCATTCAGCTATCCTCCAATGTGTCATACAAGTGCGAGAAATTCCTGCGGCACGAGGAGCTCATGTTCCTGGTTTGGTAACTGTGCTCCAATGCAGAAATTTGTTGCTATACTGTGGTGCAGTTCTTCTGCAGAAGGGTCTGTTTTTTTGCATGTACAACTATGTTGCATCTCAATTCAACCTGCATGAAACAAGACGAGTACTCAGTTTTGGTTACTTCAGAACCTGCCATAAGACAGCAGAACGCAAGCTGCCAGATTGTCATTCCGCAACTCACCGACAGAAGTCAGTGTGTGGAGACTTGGATATTGGCAAAAGAATATGCAAATGTTCATTGGGAGGCAGGAGATCGCAACGTACTTTAAATACGGACGAAGTAAAGCCCAAGAAATGCACACGGGCTCTGATGGTGCCCATGACAGTAAACGGAACGGCATTCCTGGCAGTGTCATTGAGCAAGCTGAGCCCAGTTCCCTGCGTTACGTCGATCCGGTCCATCACCAGCAGCACTTTCATGGTGTGATTGCTGAAAGCGGGCTGATCAATGGCTGGGACTGTGGAGTTACCAATGAACATATCCTTGTAAGTCACATTCGCCTGTGTGGGACTATACATGATTCGAAAGTGATTAGGGTTTATGGCTGTCAGATTGGCCGTCATGTTCATGGATAAGAGTGCCTTGAAGAGCAAACCGTGACGCTTGCGCCCCACCTGCAACACACGCACCAGCGCTCGCGTTTCAGGATTCTCTAAGACGATTTTCTACCATAATGGCGCAGACTTCAGTTCCTCCGTGGATCTCTTGCGTAATTCAAATGCTGAGCTACCTCAACTTTTACACCATAGATTCCAAAACAGAGTACAAGGGAAGAATATCTTCAGGCATTGCATCTGTTCTTGATCTGTGGATGTAATGTCCCGATCCGGACATGGGATCCACTTTCTACGTACTTGGAAGTATAGTTTCGTGTCTCACTTAAGTGCGGACATTGATCAAGACCCGAATGCAGAAATACTTGCACCCGCATTTCAAATACATACCTTAAGAGCAGTTATGGATATATTGCTCATCTCCACGGAGGGATATTTTGGTTTCACGACGTGGTATATAATAATACCGATGACACACAGCAGTAGAAGGAAGAACACGAAACAAACGATCGTCCGACAGCAACATTTCTTCCACTTCTTTCTCTTCGAATGTGCCTCCACGTTGAACTCTTCGCGGAAGGAGCCATGCTTGGATCTGCTGTAAGGACCTCGCTCACTCGCACTGGTGAACTTCATCTGGACTCTACCCTACAAATCCAGTTCTCTATACCGCTCCACCTTCATTTTGCCCCCACTCTTTCTCCGATCGTTCCAACACTTTCCTCACTCGCCGTCGCTCCACATCAGTACCTACACTCCCACATACTTCCCTTCGTCTATCAACACCACCCGATCGACAACCGACACCCCTGAAAGATCCAGCGCCTTTCTTCCTGTTCTGCATTCACTCGCACGAGCAGAAACACAGCGCAATCACCTGGTTCGAAACGCCAGCCGAGACACACCCCAAAACCGTTCTCCTCCACTTGGAAATCCCCTTCCACATTGACCGCGATCAAGATTATCAGCTTAGAAAAGGAAGGAGGAAAAAAATAACACCCAATTGAACAGATACAGAGAGAAGGCAATGCGAGCGAGCTCAGGCGAGTACAAGATCTGTGGCAGCACTCACCAATGAATCCCCACCTGCGCAATGGATCTGCTCTGGTGGGGAGCGGGGAATGCGTCCATGAGCTGCGCGGGGCAATCCCAAGCAAAATGCTATTTTCTGCAGCACTCGAGTCACCTGGATTGCGAAGAGAAAGCCTGGAGATTAGGCACCGGGGTAGTCTCCATCCTGCGATTCCGGCGGGATCGGAGGAAGAGAAGTCAGGCGCAACTTCGCGCAGCACATGGCTCTCCCTTTGGTGGGATCCTACTCCTCTTCTTCCTCCTCTACATTTGCTCGTCCATTGCGCCATTGCTCCTCCCGCTCTCCCTCCTCCATCGCTGCCATAGCTCTCTCTATGTCTCACTTCATAGCCTCCCTTCCTTTCTTCACTCCGGCAGCAGCTTCTCGCACAATTGCAACGGGAAGCCCTAATTAATCCATAATATGGATGAAGTGCATCTAATGGATGAATGTATGTAGAGGTGCTTCCACTAGGAGAGTGAGAGAGAATTTAGAATTTCCTCGTATCTTCGAAGATTGTGTTCACACTCGGATCCTGCTTTTCGGATAGACTGGGGAGTTGAATAGTGTGGCCGTGAATGGGTAGCTTTTGTCCTCGTTGGGAATGTGTTCGTGTAGGTGGGTATTTTCCAAAACTGGTGTTTTTTTTGTGGAGTTTATTACTGTTATTGTTTATTTTTATTTTATTTTATTTTTGTGTTATTTTGGTTGTGGAGGCATGTATGCCATTACAATATGTTTGTCGTTTATTATTAACAACGTGCTATATTTAATTTTTATAACAGTGTAGTAATGTTACAGAAACCGGAACAAAATTCTAAAATATTTGTGTAGTCAGTCATTTTGTTTCATACGTGGAGATCATGCTGAAGTTGTTGATTTTTGTATATAGATAATTGGAACTAGGACAACCAATATACACGGCAGATGTTAATGAAACGGATTCATATGTGCCAAGTTTAACACTTCATGGAATAATTTCCTCATTTGATTATCAACTTAATCGACGTTGTTCTGTACAATCAATGTGAAGGTTGTAAACTGATTAAAGCATTCAAAATGTCAAGTATATTCTCTGGTGTTACAGCTCATCTCTACCATTTTTACAAAATATATCTTTTGAATCCATGCTATTTTTCTTACTATTTTGTTTATAATAAGTTTTAGTATTTCAGACTGAGGTTGTGCTAAGTTCAAATCTTGCAATTTTGACTTTAAATTTTGACTCTTGAGTTACATGAAAACTGGCGTAATTTTCTCATGCATGAGTCTATGCATAATTTTAGCTAAAATATGGACTTTGTTTTCAAATGATCATGTTCTAGTTATCATGTGCATGCTTTCTTGTTGAAAATTGCAACTATTCGATTCATCGTCAAGACATCAGATATCCTCTACGTGATGAGGTATTTCATATTGTGGCTGAAATTAGATCTTATTTTGAAATCGAAGATAAAAATAAAATAAAAATAAGTTGATTCTCTGCAGATGAAGGATTTATACACACAAATATTAAAAGTAAACAGTACGGAAGAAAAGGGGGAAAAAAAACCGATCTCAGACAGTTGATAAAATTTGTAGAGAAACAATCATGCATCTATTCATTAAGTAAAAACGAAAAAAGAACTTCACTCATTGGACATTCAGATTAAATCTCTTCATTAAACTTTCGTAAAAATTAATCGTTAATGCAAAAAACCGATTAGATTTAAAGATTATTGGAAACTTATTCTTTTAAACACCCTGACAGATATGAAATACAATGCAAGATTCACCATAACCATTTAATTAACCAATCAGATGTCCATCGTGTGTTACTAAATTATTGGTTCATCGTGAAGCAATTGATAGGCTCAGCCACTCGTAAATATTAAAAGACGAACTTAATATTCGTGTTTTCATATCATTTATTTTGTCCCACATGCTTTCATAAATGGAATCTTTTGTAAATTACACGTCCCTAAAGGTTGTTTTCCTCAAACGCTCTAGGCATCAAGAGTTGAACAGATATTTTTATAAGATAGACAACAACCATAATAACAAATGCTTGTAAAAAAGAAGTGTTAAGATATTGCGAAGAAAATGAGGTACTGAGGTAGAATGCATAAAAAACTGCACTACCATATCATTACTAACAGTCTCGAACAGCGAGAGCAAACCAACAAATACCCTGAAGCTCCTACGACGGTAATCAGCTTCCACTAGACTTTCACTACCAGTCGAACTCCACAGATCTTGAAGTGGAATGTAATTGGATGTTGTCCCTGTTAAGCTCAAATTCCGGTGCAAAATTTGTGGAGTAGTATCCAAGTTGAAACACAAACTATCTGTAGCAGAAGTCTAGTCGGCCTCTCTGGGTACAACGCTGCTCCTACCACTTGCGAAGAGACACTTCCTAAACCTTGATGTGGTAGTAGTCAGCGTCGAAGAAGTGCACACGGACGTATCCATCCTCACCGCCACTTGAGAAACTGAAAAACCACAAGTTTCAACAATCAGTAAAACTTGTTATTTTCCCAATGACAAATAACAAAACATAACCTTGACGTGGCAAGCCCAGTTGGTCTGACAGACCCCCAAGAAGCGCACCTTCTACCGTCCGGATTAAAAGCCAGGGCATTTATAGGTCCAAAGTGACCCTTCACACCCCCAATCTCTTCCTCAAAAATCTGCAGACATCAGGAAATCGTGAACGCGGATTCAGTGACCTTTGCAGTGGAATAAAGAAGTAAACAAGCTAAGAAGAATGCCTGCAAACATCAACTTAGCATGGTGTCCGGTGACCTAGGTCTATTGAAGACAGAACGAAGGATACAGGAGAACCCGTGGTAGGAAAACGGTAAATATTTCATTAAAAAAGGAGATAACCAAGCTCTCTTAAGAGCTTTCTTAAGAGAACACCGACCTTGTGGAAAAACTTCGCCTCAAACTTTCCAACTCGCGTGCTTGTCATTGTCACCTGTGAAGCTTCCTGACCACCACCAATGACGACCTGTACCAAAACCACAAGCGTATATAATTAAGCAGTCCATTTTGACCTTGGCAGTAGCCAGGGTTAATCACGATGAATGTGTAGTTTTCTTCTTTGAGACGAAACCAAACAAAAGTCCAACCAATATGGGTTCCGGAAGCGATATCAAGTCAAGAAAAAGAGAGTAACCCAGCCATACGTGGTCAAGAAGAGGTGAAATTGCAGCAGCATTAACAGGTCGCTCTGTGGTATACGTTTTCAACACTGTCAAGGTTCGTATATCCCACAATTTTGCCGACTTATCGTGAGAGCCAGTGATAAAGTGTGATCCATCTGCTGATTTCGACATTGCTGTAATAACCTTCTGGTGGCCTGTCTCAGGATCGCTTTCCTTCAAACATTTGCCTGTCTGCAAGAGAGACAAGAAACAGGTTGAGACTAATAAAAATGCAGAAAATCCAGATATAAAAATGCTTAAAAAGTACGAGGTCTAAAAAAGGCTCATGGCGAGACTGGGACTTCGAGAGTAACATGTCATTGGAAAGACTCAGGAATGGCGTTTAAGCCTTTTGCCGTCAGTTTCAAACCAAACAATGGCGTTGGCTGGAACCCAGGCCATACACATGACAGAGAATACGGTGATTAAAAAATTCGACAATTGCTTGACAACGTAATGGAAGAAAGATAGATGGCTAAGGAGTGCAGCAATGTGAACAGCTATGTTTGAAGACAGACCTCGGCATCCCAGATGCGGATGGTGGCATCTTCGCCTGCACTGATGATGGTCTTGTTGAGTGGTCCCCACATTACTCTGTTGATCCTGCCCTGTGGTCCTGTAATGGTGAGCACGTCCTCGCTCGATTCTGAACATAACATCCAGAATTCACAATTGACAAGTGCAACGACTGTTCGAATAAATCAATACGGCCTCAACCCTTACAACCTAGGTTCGGTTAAGTGTGACCGACAATGCAGGATAAGACGAAACTGTGAAGTAGCAGGACGTAGAAGCCTAGAGTGTCCGTCTAGATATCCTCTGCCATTAGTTTTCGAACAAATACTGCATCGAAATCTTTCACGTGGCATCTTATAATATTTGGACAGGGGATTTGCACAGATTCAGAAATTCGTTTACAACTTGAATTATGCCCAAGACCCAGCCAGAGACGCAAATAATCTGAACGCCTCCCAAGTATCATGGTAGACTGACCCATTTCTCTGCGCTGGAAATCATACCATCATTTCTGCAAATTAATCAATTTACCGTTTGTAACGTCAAAGTAATAGAAAGATTGTTGAAGCTCCTGAACCAAAATGAAGTAAGGAATCACTTACGCAGGAACCTGTCGGATTCGATCCTCTTCACATGGATAGCAGACTGCTTTTCCATGAAAGGATCGGTGGAGATCACGACCATCTTGTCTCCCTCAGAGAAGCTAACAGCTCTCGCGGGCGCATCAAAATTGAACGTGTGCAGCAGGACTCCAGTCTCGCACTCCCATAGCTTCACAGTTTGATCAGCCGAGCTCGTCACCAAGCGTGTCGAATCCCCTGAACGCGACGACCAGTGCACACAGGAGTTCATTCACACACACCAATCAACCGAACACCATTCCTCCTATAGGTCGCCCTGGTTTGAGGGGTTAAGACACCAAACGCTCTAGAAACCCTCGTTCCTTCTCGAGGACAACGCTAACATGTCTAAGGTTAGTCCATAAGAATCTTACTGGAAACATCGCAACACCACACAGCCCCGTTGTGGCCCTTGTACGTGCCCAATCGCTCGCCGTTACTCGCATACCACACGGTAGGCGTATGATCCTTCGCACATGAAAAGAGCAAGTCTCCGTCTCTGTTGTACTTGAGAAACGTAAGCGGCCTCTCGTGGCCCTTCAACAAAATCGGCCTCATCTTGATACCCGATCTCCTCTCCTGCAACCAACCCAAAATTGCGCCAAACAAAACTACAAATTGGGGGCTCTCACGCACCCTCAAGTTGCTCACGGAGTTCCGAAGCGGGAGAATGCCCCCAGCCGAGGGGTTAGGGTTTTGTGTTATAGGCTTCAGCCACGTCTGCCCTAACTAGATCAGGAAACCTAATATTTGTTAGGCTACCAGTTCCGCTTTACAAGGCAAATAAACTGTGACGTTTTGATTGCGGAGATAGGGTTTTGATTGCAGAAGAGATGGGAGGAGTGAAGAAACCCCAAGCCCAGCTTGCGGATGACCAGCTTTTCCAATTTCTGTATGGCCTCGTTGACCAGGTGAAGTAACCTGCGCTTAGTCTCTCTTGTTTGTGTCTTCGAATTTGTGTCAGTACCCATCTCTGTTTACCAGTCAAGGTTGTTATTACCTGTACATGTCTGGAATGGAGGCATCTGGTAGCACCTGTCCATTATCGGATACGCTTCGTTAGAGGATGCCAGTTTTCTGGAGAAAAATTGTGCGGCACTGCCTTGGAGTTGGTCGCAATGTCTCTGGCGTGGAGATTTTCCTCCTCGGCTATGATTTCCAGTAATTCACAGTCTTTGAACTCCTATAGGGTTGAATTTTGCTACCCGTTGCGTTGAAGTAACGATATGCATGCGGAACTGATAAGAATAGGTGGAAGCCGATAGTGGAACTGAAGAAACTGACTTGAAAGCGAAGATCGCCGCCCTTCAAGCTGAAACTCGGAAAACTCCTGGCGCCTCTACAAGTCGAATGAGCGAGGTAAATTGTGGCTGCTCTGCATACCGAGCCTAGAGTTAATATATCCATTCTTTGGTCGGTCTTTTTATCTTTTCAGAACGTGTTTTTGTTCGTCTTTGTGTGTGCCAAGTTCTTAAGGCAGGATTCTCTGCTTGAGGTTTGTCACCTGTCGTATCCATCTCAGAGCTACAATGTCCTTGGAGATTTGTCTTCGCGAGGTTGTCTTGTGTCTCGGTGGATTACGTTGGGATCACTGGTGCAAGGCCACGATACATGTGTGTCTCAGACTTCTGCGTCTATTGAGCGAATATTTACTTCGTAGATTTATCATTGTTCCTCAAGTCTTCAATTATGTAGAAGTTTGGACTCTAAACTATGGCAGCAAACTTCGCTTCAGGTAGACGTGGCTAGAGAGCTTGACAATATGTCTGCGAAGCTTGACTCTCTTGGGGCACTGGTTGAAGAAGCCACCGCTGATTCCGAAGTCCAAGGATTGCTCGCAAACAGCGCCAATCTGTGGGTACCCGTTATTACGGCATCGGCTGAGGAACGCACTGCCAAGACATCTGCAGAAGGCAACTCAGATACCACGCAAACTTGAAGATGTCCAAGATCTTTTACAGCGCTGCTCATCCTGTCGCGACTTCAGAAAACACACATCTGAGGCATTACTTGTTACCCTAATCTGCTATCATAGTACATTTAATTTTTTCCATCGAGTTTGTAGTCCGCTAAGTCAGTACGAGCATCACAAATGACTACAAACTCGATGGAAAAAATTAAGTCACTAAGAGCATCACAAATGGGGGTCGCATTAATCGTCTGCACTTAAATTCTTTAATTTTCCTCTATTTATGTATCGTGGATGTCCTATAATGTTTCTGTTATACAACATTATCATAAATAATGAATTAACATTATTGTAATTAGTGTTAGATTTGTTTGGATGATTTATCTTCTCTATACTGCTTTTGTTATATTGCTTGAGTTTAAAACATTCTACTTTAATTTTTGTCAACCTGAAATTATGCTATGTGTTTATTATAAACACATAATTTTAGAGGTATGCTTACTTCATGTTTATACCGCTGATGGATTTCTTTCTAACATTCTTAAGTAGTAAAAAAGACTGAAATAATTAATGAACACAAGGGATTTTGCCCAACTAGTATGATCTATTGGTTTTGCAAAATATTCATTTAGTTGTAACGTCGACAAACCAGTATTTTAAATGGGTTTTAAAATAAATGGTGGTAGTGATTTTGTGCGTTTCAGTTCTTTTCTTGATACATATTTATTGATGTGTCTTACTTCCTTCTGGAATTTTCTAAACTTTATTTATTAAAATAACCATAATTATCGTTATTTAAGTATTTAATCTTAAATGATTTAAAAATTAAATTTACTGAAGTTAACGTCTAAAACATGTTTTCATTGACTTACTCTGTTTGTTTCTGATTTAAGATATCGAGACTAATGCCTTGTGTAATGAGATTGTAATCGCACTAAATTTAGAATCATGACAAATCATAGGCAAGTCTACAACATATATATATATATATATATATTTCTATTCATTTATTCAAAAACAAATAAAAAAACAAGAAATAAACAATAATTGATGGAAAAGTATCAACATTCCGGAGTCTCCAGACATTAGTTAGACGGACAAACAGATGAACACACACACAAACAGGCGACAAAAATATCAACAAACAGCCATACACAACTGAAATCCACCTACAAACGAAGAAACGTATTAACAGTGGGCATCACCCAGAAGTCCAACTGATGCCGACTGCGTCGCGAGGCCGGGACGCGAACTGCAACGTCACGTAAGACGCGTCAGATTGTGTCAGTTACCGGCCGTTCGCGGCCGGCTGCGTCGGTGCTGTCGACGAAGGCGGCGGCGCAGGGACGAGACGAAGAAGTAGAAGTAGATGAAGATGGAGATGAAGGTGGCGATGGAGGTGGCGATGGAGGATGCGCCATAGAGAAGGACGAGAGCGAGAATGAGAATTAGAATGGTGGGTGGGTGCGCAATGGATGGGTTGGTGCTTTTTCATCGGGTGCGCAAGTGGCGACGCCGCAAAACCACTTGGGGGGGGGGGGGAGCGTGCTTGCACAGCCTGCCTCCCTGTGTTGCAGCCCCATGTGCTCACTCCCCTCTCTCCCTGCGGCTGCGTGTGCCTTCTGTGGTGTCCACCCTCGTTGCCTCCCGCTCTGCACGTCTCGCTGCTCTGGTGGAGTTCCTTTAAAGGAATTCAAAACAAAACTTATATGAAAGTATAAATGAATAAGCAAGAACGATTTCTACAATTGGGTGATTAGGTCTTAATTTGGTTCACACTATTTGTACCCTGTATGTTTGTCTTGCTTGGGTTCTTAATATTCTACTTGCTGAAGTTTTGTTTTGTTTTGTTTTGTTTTGTTTTTTTTTTTTTTTGTACTGCTGGATTTGATCTTTGAAAAGTTGAGTTCCTCCACTTGGGTCGGTGGGTTGGACATTCCGCTTGGTTGATTTTTTTGTTAAGGATGTGGAATTTCCGAATGATGCCGTATGAGAATTTGATTGTTTCTGTTTGCAACTGTGGTCTAAACGCGTGTTTCAAGAATCGATCTCAGTTCGTTTAGAGAGTCAAACTGCAAGGAGTGCGAGAACGTAATTAAAGGTTGTGGAGTAAGCGATAGAGATGATTTCAGATAGAGTGAGTGGATATATTCGAGCAAGTATAGTCTGAGTCATCCTAATCAGAAAAAGGGTAGCCAGCTCTGATCTTTCTCCTTCGAAGCGACCAGTCCAAGCGAGCTGGGAGCGACCAGGCCGGCATATTGAATGCACACCACTGCTTGGTTCTCACTGATGGGATTAGATTGGCAGTTGCGCCGGAGCCATTGATGCTGCTCGCGATGGAATGCCTCACAGATCCGGCAAAAAAGCCTTGCAACTCTCTTTCGAAAGACCCATCGCTCATTGGCTCCCGTGGTGGATAAATTTAGGGGGCTCCACGATAGGAAAAAGCTAGAAAGAATCCTAGGATCACGCGGTAGAAATCAAACGCAACATCACTTCGAAGCTTCAGCTCAGTTTACTCAAACTTTTCCTCCAGAATCTCACAGAATGTTGCGAAAATTCTTGTGTATTGTGTAACATGAGTATTTCATCACGTCGTAATTCAAGGAGGCATAAGAAGAAAACCCTTGTGATTGATGGATAAAAGTGTGAATTAGGCCTTCGATTTGTGACTCAAAGGCGGTACTGGTGGCTGATAACGAGGGATGGCCGACGGATGTTCCGAGCTCCGAAATTGAAAATTATTTTGATGAACTGAAATAGGTTGTTGTTGTTGTTGTTGTTTGTTTGTTTTTTTTTTTTTTTTCAATCATTTGTTTTCTTTTTAAAGTGGTCTGGCTGATGATTCCTGCAGGTTGTCCAGCTCCACTCCATTTTAATGATGTTTGCTGCAAATCATGTAAATTGTGTCCTGTGTTGAAATCCAGCCTGCGTGATGTTAGATATTGGATTCGCTTTGATCGTCTGGAATTCGCATTTTGACCTGGGCCTTCACCATGAGCAAAGCCGATGTGTATTTTATTCCATATATTTGTCTATTATTATATTGCTGTTGTTATTTTTTCCATCTCAAATTCCGTTAATCTTGTCTATGGAAGAGCAGATTCAGCAGCGATTAGTGTGTGTGCGCGTGTTTTTTTTTTTTTTTTTTTTTTTTTTTCCTACACTCATAGTCAACCAACGATCGACTCACAAGTCCAGTGGGGAAACCTGTCAAGTCATCGTTTATAATGATCAACTCTTAGACCTGAAAATAGGTATTTCCACGAAGAATTGAACTTCTCCAGCGATTGATTGGTGTTCGTGGAGTGGCATGAGGATCCTTCCAAGTCGTATCGATTTCCACCAGTTTTCTGTTTACAGATATTAAATAACTGCGGACATGTTGTAACTTTAGTGGCAAAGAAAGGTTTGGTTTGACAAGGAGATCAGAGGAAAAGACAACGTGGATGCCCAACTGTGTGGGAGTAATGTTTATTGGTCTTGTACGCCATCGTTGGGTTGCACCCCATCGACTTTTTGTCCCTCGCAGTTGCAAGTGGATCTGCGTAAGATGCCTTTTTCATCTCCCTCACTCCCCGATCAGAACACGCGCAACACTGCACGCATTCCTCATAATGCTCCACTGTTTGCCGATTCATTTCCACTGCACCCCCTCCTCCCTCAATTCATTCAATTTGCCCAATTTGCTCAGCTCTCTCTCTCTCTCTCTCTCTGGCCATTGTCATTTGAGTTGTGAGTCCACTGCCTGGTAGTATTGCAGGGGGGTTGCTGCATCGTTCGGGCTCGATCGTCGCTATTTACCATTCCCGGAGCGAATTCCATCTGCAGAAGCACGTTGCTTGAAGAATACGTAGGCTGGCGTTTGTTCCAGCTCTAAATTGCCCAAGCAGGGAATATTGTGGGTCTGAAGAGCTAGACTGTGCCACCATTCTGAGTTCACCGTGAACTTCAATTCGTCACATTTGTTCAAGGTATGGGACATTGAACTTCATCTTCTAACTACCAGATTCTCTGATGTGCATTTCTTTTTTTTCTTTTTTCTCTTGGAGGCCTTGTTCTGTTGTTTGCTCGTGACTCGTGGAGATCACTGTTACAGCTTGGATATTCCTGCGTTGCGTTCACTTGTAATGGTGAGTGTGTTCTATCAGTTCGGCATGGAACTGTGTGTGCATGAAAGAATTGTGGGTTGTGTCAGATTTTCTGGAAATCAATTTTGGTTGTTTTGCAAGCGTTGCTTCAAACTCCGATTGTCAATGTCTTCGGTCTTTGTTCTCATGGTGCGATTTTAAATATTAGTCTTACATATCGGTTTCTACTGGATTTTATTGCAGGTATGTTGCAGCAGTGGCTGTAGGAGTATTTTGTGTATTGTCACATCTATTCGTGAGAAGCGGTCGTAAACTCTGGTGGGAGCTAGGTTGGTATATAGTGCAGATGGCAGCTCCCGCCGCAGCCATGGGCCTTTTCCACAACCATTGTCCAGCGGGACTCCATCAAAGCAGGCTTGCACCATTCCCTTTCGGATCAACCTCACGGAGCTCTCCGTTGTGGACCTCGCCCCTCGCTGGTGCCGTCCACTCCGCCCCATTCCCTGCCGCCATGAAAGTGCGGAATTCGAGATCTCTCACGAAGCGAAACTCCAGCATGTCGTTTAACAACGACAGTGTCGCAGAGAACTTCAGCGAGAACGACGAGGACTACGCAGACTCCACAATTTTGGAAGCCCTGGAGGTCAGGAGCGGTCCTGATGGTTGCGTCATTAAGTTACGCGACGGCAATGTGCTCAAGTGCGTGCACAACACGAAAGAAGGGGGAACTCTACCTATTTACGCTCCGCAACCAGCTATTGTTCTGCAACTCAATGACGGCTCCAACCTCTTACTACCCATTATTGTGCTCGAGTTCCCGAGCGCAATGCTCTTGGATGCTCTACAAAATGTACAAATCTCACGCCCGACGGTGTACCAAGTAATGAGGAACATCTTGGAGGTTTCGGGATACAAGGCGAAGCTTGTCCGAGTGACGAAACGAGTCAACGAGACTTACTTCGCCAGGGTTCATCTCGTGAAAGAGGGAGACGACAGCGCTCCACCCGTCAGCCTTGATATTCGTCCTTCAGATGCAATCAACCTCGCTGCCAGATGCAAAATCCCCATCCAGGTATGCTCCTAATGAAACTCTACCCGATCTCTGAAGTTGAGATGGTTTCCAATGGAAGTGAATATCTGGATTATTTTCTTTGAAGTTGAGATGGTTTCCAACGCGGTGCCTCCAATTCTCTTACAGACTGAATTCACTCTCTTGCAGGTGAGCAAGGACCTGGCCGTGGGCGATGGAGTCCGCATCGTGAACGACCCAGAGAAGCCGCAGTCCAGCATCGTCACCAAGGACGGGCAAGTCATCACGGACTTGGACACACCCCTTCCTAGAGACTGCAAAGACGCCAAGGAGTTTATCATCATCCGGGACATGTACATTGCAGCGGTGGAGGAGAGGTTCATCGACGCAGCGAAGCTTCGTGATGAGCTTGAGCAGTTCCGACAAGCGGAGAGGATGGAGATCATAGAGAGCTCGGAACAAAAGCATGCAGCTGAATGAAAACTCTCCCTTAGTTCAAGCAGTTTTAGCCCACTAGAAAATATCGCATAGCAATTGTTCAAGCCTGCATTCTGGCTTGTATTAGTCTTCTATCTACACCTCATATATCACGGTCTGGAGTTCAGCGTCGGTGTGGCACTCAGACACTGCTCATGTACATATCAGAGGAGCTGTCCGCACCGACCAGGGCGAAGCTTGTTGAAGATGAAGCAAAGCCAACGAACCCATCTTCGCCATAGCCATGTAGCCAGCCCGCAGCAGCTCGAATGTGCACCTAGTGTGCCGTTTTCGGATCTGTTGTGAGCCGAACTTCCACATAGAAACTTAAGTCATGTATAATATACACTGCTATAGATTCGATTAGCTCTGTTCAGATTACTGGAACAGTATAGTTTAGGATCTAGTCCTGGCCCTTACATCGCACGATCGTAGACTGCAGGAGCTGACGATCGATCCATCCATCGATCACTGGGATTGTACCAATCTGCCGACAATTTCACGCCGAACTCTGTGAGAGTGCGGACTTGTGTGTGGACAAGACTCAAACTTGTGATGCAAAAGGTGACGTGTTGTGGTGTTCATTGTGCTTATTTATGGTAGGCAACAGAGACTACAGAATGGCATGACCAACAAAAAGAAGCATTAAAATATTGTCATTGATGTAGTCCTATTTGTGGAATTTGTTACATTTTAATATGTTCTTACATATGCAGTACTGAGAAAGGATTGTGTTTTATGACATACTATTCTTTTTGTCAGAATGCTGAAAGCTAATTCTGATTGCTGGAGGGTTTGGCATAGGGAAATACGACCATTAAGAGTATACTACCTATGATGTGAAAATTATGTCCCCAAATATTACAGGGTTTGTTCAAGTATGTTTGATTTTTGAAAATTGTCCAATGTGCGGAAACTAAAGTAAAATCTAAAACTCTCAAAGATCAAAACTCTACTAGCAAGATCACGTTTATAATAATCTGACGAAAGTATCCTAAGACTCTCTCAAGAAGATAGAAAGTAAAGAAGAAAAGGAAAAAGAAAAACTATACATATATTCTAATGCATTTAATGTGGTCTTGATGCCTTTGGAAACTGCTTCGGTGACTAATGCATTAATTTGGATATGACTACCTTTTTGAACAATAACTCTTTTTTGTTTTGAAACTTTCTGAACCCGCGTCCTGGATACAATGCTATTAATAACTTATGGGTTGTAAATTTACATTGTAAACTGATTTATTGAGTTACAAGTCACTTAGCAGGATTCAACCTTCACCGAAACCAAACACACTGAATTCCGGAGACACACATACACACAAAACACATTGTTTTAGGGTTGGTCACGAGCAACTCGTTACGTGGAATTCGACGGCTCCAGGCTCCCGGAATGGCTGCGTTGGATCCCCTTTGATTGCAAAGCGGAAACAGCTTTGGAATCCTTGAAATCATGGCCCGAGGATAGGATCGTCCTGACACAGAAATTGGTCCACGAATGCACAATCACGGTAAAAAAAACCGGAAACCACCACGCAATTCCCATTTGCAGCTTTGGCGATACCGTAATCGACATATGATGCTGTCAGAACGAAGGAGTTTTCGATGGCTCATCATTCACAGATTCTCAGAGAATGGGAGCAATCTTCACGCTTGACTGGGGCACAGAGATTTCTACAGGATTGGTCGGAAAGCAGCTGCAGGGAGGTGGGATGGGATATTGGAAAAGAATGTAAGGACGGATGCGGCTCACTGGAATAATAAGGCGCGTGTGGGCGAGAACCGCGTGGTATACGAGAAGCTTGAGATGCTTAAATATTCCACAACGGCACCCAGCTCAGCTACATGGATACACACGAAGGAGCATTCCTGCTTCGAATTTGTACATAGTTTGTGTCAACTATAGTCTAGTGCGTCGGACACGGGCAACGCGAATCATAAAACCCATTAGTAGTGCTTGATTGAAATGGACCCGACGGTGGTGGCTGGAAGACCGTGTGTTGGTTTAGGCACTGGTTTGTTGCCTGTTGCGAAATCTGCTGAACCACGAAAATCAGGGTCAGGGAGGGCGATTTCTGCAGGATTGGGAGTTGGTTCCACCAGAGATTGGTTGTTTTCTTCTCGCCAATCTTTCTCAAGTTCCCGGTTGGCGGAGAATTTGACGAGAAATGAGTTGGGTGGTCGGTTTGCGAAGCAGGGACTAGGTGAGCATTATGAGCTCTGTTTGTGATGAAAGTGGGACGGGTTTTAGGAGCGCTGCATAGGCTCCGGTTCGTGATTCGTGATAGTTTGAGCCCCGCTGGCTCTCTTGCTTCCGGGTTTCGCTATTGATTTCTCTTTCTGGTCTGTGAGCTAAGCGTACATGGCTCGTATCAGTTTTCGTCGCAGTTGACATAGCTTGCAGAGTATGTTTGTCTCGTCTTCATACCTCGTTGGCATTGCGTAAGACCGTTCCGCGGGGATATGTAAGGATCTTGGGACACTCGTTCCAATGCTACCGACGCTGTTGCTACGAGGTCTATTCCTGCGCGACCATGAAAAGATCATTTGGGCTATGACTTTGAAGAGAATAAGCTTCAGTAGAAAGTGTATGTAGTGCCTACATTAAAAAGCCCAATTATAACCTCAATGCCCCTGCATAGATCTTCTACCTGCTCGAATTGTCATTCAAAGATTAAACTCATCAACCAAACTAGCTAGTTCCAGCGTTGTTTATAGAATGTTCCGTTTGCTTGTCATTCTTTGATCGTGCCTAGATTCGGCAACGTCCCGTGCTCATTAGTTCTTCTGAGTTTGTAGGGATGTGAGCATTGCGACATGGTCGGAGGTTCGAACTTGTAGTAGTAAAGCTGATGATTTGAATTCGAGCTGGAGAACTGGTGGCTGTCGCCTTCTTGAGTAGGTTTATGACCCAACGGCCGATATATTTTTTTTTTTTCTTCTGCCGGAGTGATGGCGTTCTCGCCCTGGGGTGAGTGCTGATATTCCTTCCTAGCTATCTTCCGGCGTTCATCACTTTGGAGCACAAGCACGCTTACCCTCTTGTATGCGCTTGCAGGCACTTACAGTGTGCAAGGGGGTGCATTTTGGAGCACTTGCGCAGTATCCTCGTTGCTTGTATGCGCAGCAGCAAAGACAGAGACGGCTCAGGCTAGTGGAACTGGTATGTGTTCTCGTCGATGCCTCGTATTAAAATTTGGGAATTTTCAAAATCTGATAGAAACTAGTTATCACACGCTCTTATGGTAATTGTAATTGGAGGAGGTGTTGAGCAAAAGGGAGTAGTGGAAGTCGCGAATGCTTGTAGCAGACAACAGAAATATCATATGGTCGTGGAACATTCGCCGACACTTGACATCTTTTATTTTTTATTTTTTATTGCAATTCAGATTCTGATCTAACACAAGGTAGTGTAATTCTCTACAACTACTCGCTTGCGTTCAACCCTGCAAAAGCGAAGCTTGCTCTGGAGGAGAAAGGCATCAAGGTGACTCAGTTTGTTCGCTTCTCCCACCTGCATCTCTTGCGTTGACCCATCTTAATGCAACGGTTTGATCTGTCATCTTTGATACCCCATGAAAAAATTCTACTCTGATGACTTCAATTGGAGCATACTTCACCTGGGGAATTTTCCAGCTTCTGTGTATGTGCTCTGAACTAAAACTCGGTTTGTCCGATCGTAGTACACTGAGGAGAAAATCGATCTCTTCAACGGTCAGTCTCTGGAGCCTTGGTATTTGAAGCTGAATCCGGCAGGGTCATCTCCGACTCTAGTTGTTGGGAGCGAGAAAATTGTAGAATCTGCAGACATCATCAGGTGGGCAGACAAGCAGGGGATTCCTCTCGGCGGAGATTCTGTAGACCGAGCCTTTGTAAACGAGTGGCTTCAGAAAGTGGACGCTTGGGATGGTAATCTGTTCGCAGAAGGGAACTCTTCATCTGGCGCTGCGGTGAAGTTAAGCACAGAATACAAAATCAAAGTCGCTGAGGCAAACGCAACACGCTACCCGGACTTGGCTGAGCTGTACAAGAAGAAGCTTGTAAGCTTGAAGAAATCTATAGAACGACCAAGCAACTCCGACGCCCGCGAGAAGAATTTGAAGCAGCTTTCGGACCTGTTGGATGAGGCAGAGGCAAGATTGTCATCCACCAAGTTTTTGGCCGGGGATGCCTATTCCGCCGCTGATATCATCTTCACTCCCGTGCTTTTCCGAGTGTACCAGGTGAAGAAAGACGCGGAGCTTCTCGATTCTCGGCCAAACATCAAGCTCTACTACGAAGAGTTGAAGAAACGACCTAGCTTTAAGCCAGTGTTCGCTGCTGCCGAGAGCGGCCTCTTGACTGCTCTCATCGTCTTACCTGCTTTTGCTAAGATTTTTTTTGTTAATGCTACTGGAAAATACTAGGGATTCCTAGCATTTACATCAGTTATCTACTGTTAATGGCGATTTTCCACCTTTCTTTCTCTCTCTCTCTCTCTCTTCTTCCTCTCCTCTCCTTTTTTTTTTTTTTTTTTTTTTTTCCAGTTAGGTTTTGAATTCTAGTTGCTGGCTTCGGTGGCATCATCTTCATAGCTGGCGTAGAGAACGATGTTCTTCTGTGTTTATATGAATGTTGATCCTTGAATTCACCCTTGCAAATCTATCATCATCCACTTTGAGAATAATTAGCAACATTCGGGGTCAGCTGTGTGTGCAGCGGAGATTTTGATTTCGGAGAAGTGTTGGACAAAGGAAAATCGAAACGCGTGTCCATGCACTAACCAATCGAACATGCCAGTGAGGTGGAAGGAAAGAGGGGACTGTATATTGATTGTGTGGGGAGAGAAGATTGGTCAGACTCCAATTGGAAAATTGAGATGCTTGCTACTTGGTGGCTCAACTTTAATATTTTGTACTGGAAATGGACACTTTTGCCACCTTTACAATACACGCTTTGCAACTCTTAATGTTAATTATTCTTCCTATTGTTGCACATTCTTCAAGAGTACTGTAAATATCTCAATTCCTTGTATCTAGATGAGGCAATTGGTTTACTAAATGCAATATATATATATATATATATATATATAATTAATAAATCTATTACAATAGAATTCATAATTAAATAAGAACTAATTTAACATGACCAATAGAACATAGAAGAATAGTAGACACTTTTTCACATCATAAATGAGTTTTATTAAAGAAAAAGTATATAATTTGTATCATGGTTATTTGTATCCTTGAATGAAAATTGCATAATTTTAATAAATTTTATATATTTGTATTTGCCTATTAAATCCCTACAAAATTCAAGATTAAAGAGGGTAGAGCCTAAAGACTTTGGCAAGTGTAACAAATAGCCATATGCTCTAGTATATTTATTAGATAAGTAGAACTAGATACAAGTAAGTAGAAGTAGGTTATATTCTTCATATATTGTTTGGAAGCTTCCTAAAAGCTTTGTAGACTTATACTTATTTATTAGTGATTGATAAGTTGACAACATGGCTAACAAGTTGGCTATATATTAAAAATTTAGCAACTTGAATTACAAGTTGGCCATGTGGTATACATATCAACAACTTGTCTTCTAAATTAAATACATGACTTATAAGTTGGATAAGTATTACATGGCCTATAAGACATCAAAATGTAGTTTTTTAATATATAGTATATGTAGAGATAAGAATGAAGTCTTTCTTATTCTTATTAATGTCTTTATTTTGTTTTTATCTTGATTCAAGACTTTTTGGTTTTTCTATCATAAATATTAATGTTGACATTAATAATTAAGTAATACTGTGTAGTAACACAACCATTAAGTAAAAGAAAAAAAGAAAGTGTTTTATTATAGAAGATCTTAGTTAAAAAGATATAGTAGAAAAACATAGATATAAGTTAGGCAGGTAGTAAAATCTTGTAGTATTGGAATTACTTTTTATAAAAATAATTCTATTTACTTTTTATAGTTGTAAATAAAGCAAAATAATGTAGATTAAAAAAATAAAGAATATAAGCATATATAAGTGAGAGTTAGGAGTTGATTTTAGTAAAAGTTATTTTAAGAAAATAAGAATTGATACTTGAAGAGGACTAGTTGCCAACCATGGTCAAAATTTGACCCTGAGGCACAAAATCAAATATCTTTGCTATTTCTAAGGTTCTTTTGTCAATCAAAGAATAAGACTAGAGAAGAGACTAGTGAAGAGATTGTTAAGAATTGGTTTCATATCATTTGAATTAATATTGAGATTTTGAGGAATTTTCAAAATTAGTAATGTATTCACTAGATTTAATTTTTGAGAAATAAAAAAAAGTTGACAAATTTTAAGATTTTATAAGTTTTGTTGCATATTTATAGGTATAAATTTTTATATTTATTTAATAATTTATCATAAATATTTATGAAAAATTTGAGGTCAATTTCATAGTTAGATTAAAGAATACAAGAGTTTTTGTGGATTATGGTCTTAGATAATTGAAATTTGGGATAAATGAGGAATTTTGAGATCTCGCAATATTTGCCAATTTGATTGAAGTGAAAATTGGTAAGAATAATTTAAAATTGAATATCTATACATAAATCAATTTTTAGAGCAAATGAATGGTTTAGTAAGGAAAAATCTTTATTGAAAATTCAACATTTAAATTGGAGAAGGAGGGTGGTTAATGACTGAGAGGTTTTGGGAGCCTTTCTTACAATTGGTAAGTTTGATTCTTTTCAAATTTTGTGTGCTTGTTAATTGCTTGTTAATTGAAGTTTGGATGAAATTTTAGTTAATAACTATGGTTCAATTAATATTTATTGAGATCTCAAAAAACAATAGTAATTGATTAAAATGTACTTGGATTTTTTTTGGATTTATTTAAGATTTGGTGAGGATTTAGGATTTTGCTAGGATTTGATTAGGATTGATCTAGGATTTAGGGCTTATTTAGGATTTAGGATTCTATTAGAATTTTATTAGGATTTTACCTAAAGTTTAATTAATATTCATTAAGATTTTAATTAAGATTTCAATTAGAATTTAATTAGGATTTAATTAGGATTTATTTAAATTTTTTATTTTTAATATTTTTTTAGATTTTTATTTTTATTTTTATTTTTATTATTTATAGAATTTTAAAATATGATTATTTCTTAAAATTTTTATTTTAATATTTTTTTAGGTTTTTTTTTATTATTTTTCTTTTAAATTAATTTATGACTTCTTTGTATTTCTTTTGTAACTTCTTTTAAAATTATTTTGAATTGGTTAAAGTTTGATTTGAATTATTAAAGATTACTTAAAGTTTATTTAAGAATTTGTTAAATTTGGTAGGATTGTTGTGTCACGGACACAGTAATACAAACTCGAGATCTAACAAGAAGTTCAAGAAGAACTGGCAAGAACTAGATTAATCAGATGAATATAAGAACAACACCAGAGAGGTGAGCTAGAGCTCCAAGAGATGTGTTGTCGAGACTGAAGAATTCTTCAATCTCGATTCTAATATATATTCCTATTTAGGAAGCTTCTCAAGCAACTTCTACCAACTAGGAAACTTCTAGAAGGTTCCAGAGACTTGCTTCTAGGAGGTTCTAGAAACTTATCTCTAGAAGGTTCTAAGGACTATGTCCCTAACATCTTCTACCAACTAAAAAGCTTCTAGAAGGTTCCAGAGACTTCCTTCTAGAAGGTTCTAGAAACTTGTCTCTAGAAGGTTCTAAGGACTATGTTCCTAACATCACCCCTTCCTTTAGCTTCGAGGTCTCTGAGAAGCAATATTGTTGTTAATCAGTACCAACGCAAGAAAATGAAGATCTGTTGTATAACATCTGCTAAGAACTCCAACTGTTGTTCACGAGGCAAGTGGTTCATTGGCCCTTGAAGCCAATGGTAGTAGCCTACTCCTTCAACTTCTGACCAAGCATGAAATTCCGTGTCCTCATTGTGAAATTGTCCTGCAAACACGCCTTCCGGCTGACCATCGTAAGCAGGCTCAAACTCAAATACAATCACCAGTGATCGGTTACTTGGTATCCTCCGTCGTTGTCGTGGTGTAGGCGGTTCTTCATCTTGGGATCGCCTTCGTGAGCTAGTCGGTTGAAATAATTTGATTGGCATAGTATCTATCTCTTGGCTATCCATATCAGAAGACCAAACTATGGCTACTAAAGAAATTCTATTTTATCTTGGAGAAAATAACTATATTAACTACGAATTTTGGTGGTGCTCTCCCCCTTTCTTATATTCTTGGGTGAGCAAGCTTCAGAAGGAAGCTATCGTCGAACCGGCTTAGGTTTGTGAGGATGTTATTGATGAAAGTCCTGTACTTTTTACGATGCATTGACAAGATTTTCAGCTAGCTTCCACGTTTGCTTATTAATATCGTAGCCGCATCAATGAACAAGATACTCCAACTTGTCCTATCTTTGCCATGAATCCAGCTCCTTTTCAACCTCGTATTCCTCGTGGTTCTCAATTTCAATACTAGGTGGCGGACATTGCACTCTTTCAAGAAAAGGCGACTCTCGATAAGGCTCTAATAGAGAAACATGAATGATTGGATGTACCTTCATAGAAGCCAGTAATTCCAGACGGTACGACATTGGATTGATTTACTTCTGGATGATAAATGGTCCCAATCTTCGATAGTCCAACTTATCACATGGTTGCTTGGTCTTGATATTTCATCAAAGAAGCCATGCTTTATCTCCAATTTTGAAAGTAGGTGCTTGATTCCGAAATCTATCTACAGTCACCTTGTAGGATTCTTGAGCGGATTGTAATTGAAGCTTCAATGAATTTTGAAGCTCTGATAGTTGTTTCACAAATCCTTCAGTTACTGGATTATTATTTATTGACGAACTCAATAAATCAAGCTTCGGATGATACCCATAGTTGGAAAAGAATGGTGTGTATTGAGTCGACGCATGGAGGGTGTTGTTATATGCAAACTCGGCTAACAGCAGATATGTGGTCCAATTGTCTTGTTGATAGTTGATGCTGCATTGTAAGTATTGTTCCAAGACTTGGTTCACACGTTTCATTTGGCCGTTAATTTGAGGATGAAAAGCCAAAGAAAGCTTGATATCCACCTTCAGTATCTCAAAAAGAGATCTCCAAAAATTTGATGCGAACTGGGTTTCTCGATCTGATACAATATCATCTGGTAGTCCATGATATCGATACACATTATCGAAAAAGAGCCTTGTTGTGACTTCACTGGATGATGTCTTCTTGTAAGGGACAAAGTACGCCATCTTTGTAAGCCGATCTACCACGACAAAGATGTTGTCAAATGAGTTAGATGATGGCAGGTCCGTGATGAAGTCCATAAAAATTGAAGACCATGGTCGACATGGAATCGACAATGGCTGTAGAAGTCCATAAGGGCGATGTCGAGGATTCTTGGATCTTGAACAAATGTCGTAGGAGAGGACAAAATCTTTCACATCCTTCCACATTTGAGGCCACCAAAAATCTCAAGAAATAAGCTCCAAGGGCTTGTTGAATCCAAAATATCTCGCAGCTAGAAAATCGTGGCAAGATTGAAGAACTCGGAGTCGTACTGGTCCTTTTGGGATATATAATTGCTCTTCAAAGTATAAAAGATCTCCCTCTACCTTCAACTTGTCGTCATTGGCATGCTGCTTAATATCAATGGCTACTGAATCTTCAATGGTCACGGTATGTACCTGATTCAGGAAGTCAGTATCAATTGGCACAATAGTAGCGCAAAGTTGAAATTGCTCTGGCTTCAACAATGTCATACATTGTTGATCAAACGTTGCTTCTCCAGCCTTTGGTATAAGATACGATCTCCTCGAGAAGGCATCAGATAGTCCTTGCTGCTTTTCAGGTCGATAAGTGATAACAAAATCGAATCTAGATAGCAACATATTCTACCGAGCTTGACGTCGATTTAGAACTTGAGCCGACATGAAATACTTCTAAATTCTTGTGATTTGTATATATGGACATTG